CAGGGAGACTCAAGGGCAAAGGTATTATCTTAAGTAGGAAGAACCCGGGCCACTTAGAGTGTTGCATCTTGGCAGAGTGATAAAACCATGGGAAAAAGTCACCCTCTCGGTTTTTTCATATCACTTTATAATTAACCTGGATTGCACAGAGTAACAACCCACGCAACTTCCTTTCAAGGGGTGCCAGAAAATTGAACAGAAATTGCGAGTTGCTATTATATGCAAGTCTGGAACTATAATCTTGAACATTTCATGAAGGGAATCCATGATATGTTGCTGGGTTGTGAACTCTGGGTTGTTTAAACCATGGGCCATGGTTATGTGTGAACCCAGAACTGTGCATTGTTCATGGGCTGTTTCACCAGGCTTCAGAGATGGCGAGTAGTAGTGTCCAAAACACACACACAACCAAAAGCCACTCTTCATGCTAGTTCTACAACAGCCCCCATGGGATCTGGAATACAGGGAGGGAGTGGGCAGACAAAGGGAGAACCAAACCATAAATGGACCAAACAAGCAACGATTTGCTTGATTGTTTAGCTGGCCAATCATGGGCTAATTCTCGGTAAAGGAAGAAACCCAAGGGTTATTTAAACCACGAGTAGTTGTTCCATGCAAAACAAGTGATAAGGTGGGTTCACACAATACAGCAAACTACGCAGTCTGGTTAGTTTACCCTGGGGCTCCAGAGCCAGTTCTCTCTTTGGTCCTCCTGCAGGTTTCCCAGGAGGCTCTGCACGTGCACTGAGGTTCCCTCCATCCTTTCCGCCCTTGTCAGCAGACGTGGTGGGTACGGGGGAGTTGGCAGCCCTGCTCGTTGCTGGTCATTGCTGGGCATGTGCTGTGGCGTCAGACAAGTCGCTTTCCAACTCTGGCTCATAACGCCCATTGGCTCTGCTGACTGGGTATGATGAGAGTTCCAATCCAACACGTCTGGAGGGCACCTGGTTGGGGAAGGCTGAGCATCTCCCTGCTCTAGGAAACCCACAACTGCGGGGACTGTTTAGTTGAGAAAAAGGGAAAGTCGGGAGACATGAGAGAGGTGTAGAAAAGAATGCACCTTGTGGACAGGGAGATATTTCTCTCTCCCATAACACCAGAATCCAGTGGGGTCATCCCATGAAGCTGAGAGGTGGGAGAGTCAGAAAAGATAAAAGGAAGCGTCGGCTCATGCACTGCACACTTGAGCTATGGAAGTCACTCCCAGGAGATGTAAGTGGTGGCCACCCGTTTGGTAGGGTTCAAAAGGGGATTAACAAAATCGTGGTAGAGAAGACAATCCATGGCTACTAGTCCTCATGACTACATGCTCCCTTCACTTTGAGAGCCAGTCTGCCGCTGTGTACCAGTTGCTGGGGAACATGGGTGGGAAGGTGTTGTTACACTCACGCCCTGCTTGTGGGTTCCTGCGGCAGCTGCTTGGCCATGGAAGAGCCCATTCCTGGATCAGATCTGGCAAGGCCCTTCTGATGCTCTCACACAGTTAAAGATTCAGCTCCCCCAGCCAGCTCTGTGGATGCGCAGCTGGTTTGCAAGGCCATGGCTCTCGAGTTGCTTCACCGCCTCCTCAGGGAAGTAGGTTCTTTTCTGACAAATCAGGGCCTGGTTCCTTCCATTCTCCAGCCTGGTGCCCCTCAGATTTCTTGGCATATGCCCTACATCTCCTCCAGCCAGTATGGCCACTGGATGAGGAAGGCCAAGAACCCTGGTCCAGCCCTCCCAGTGGTCTCATCTGGCACACAGCTACATCATCTCAGGCCAGCTGTGATTTTTCCCTGGCCCCTTTTGCTCTCTCTTTAAATTGCAGCATAGGTTGGGGTAAGGAAGTTACTTTTGGATGCTCTTTACAGGTGTAACACAGATACGTTCCTCCGTTTTGCATCCCACATCTTTGAGTAGGCTTCTGCCAAGCCATGATTATCTACCGGCCCTGTTACTGGGCAAGGACTTTATTTTGGAGAGCAGGGCTCTGCACCCAAATGGATTTCTCAAGCCTGCTGCGTGAAAATTTATCTTCCTTGCTGTTTGCTTGCTACAGAAGGTGCCTTATCCAGTTCCATCTCTTTGCATTATATTTGCATGCTTCAACTCTGTGCATTGCAGGGTGGCTGATTGGAGAAGCTGGGCCAGCAACAGGCGATTCCCATTCGTGAAGCAGCATGTATGCGAAAGGGCTGAAGGGAGGCAGGCTATCGCCTGGATTAATCTCTTCAAAGAAATCTTAAATTTGGGGAAACTTAAGGGAAAAACTCACGGGTGGTATTCGACCCAGACAAAAACTTCTAGAACATGGAAATTATCATTCTCTCTATTTCTGATGTTCAGGGTATCCTAAGGATTGGGGACTGGGTTTGCAGATGTATAACAAAAAAGGGGTGAAAAATAACTCAGAACAAGTTGACAAGATGTGTGTGCTGAGTGGCAACCTAAAGCTGAGGATGTGGGGCACAGACGGAGCAGAACAGCTGCAACCCTGAAAGGGGAGCATTCTGTAGTGCGGCTTTCGTTGCCGATGTAATATCACATCATAAAGTGGTGTATTACATAAGAGTGACCCCCTGAAAATTTCTGCCAATCACAGTGCTCCTAAAAGGCCAGGAATGGGGTGGTGGTGGTGGGAGGGCAGTAAAACAAATGAGCAAAGTTATCTCCTGCCTGAATCTCTTTGGTTCTGTCACCTGCTTCTTTGCGGATGGGAGTGGGAAGATTTGACCGAGAGAGGGCGGGAAGGGAAGGAGAAACCGGCTCTGCCTTGTCTCTTAATGTGGGGAATGTTAAGATGCGGAGATTTCTGTCTCACAGCCTGGCAGCCCTGAAAGCACAAATAGCTTTAGATCACTGTTCACACCAGCAAAATAATGATCTGGGCTTTTGTGCATCGCGTAGCCACACTCTTCGGACCTGATCTAGTGCAGTTCTAGTGTTTCCAGCAGCTTTATCCCTTCCTTTTTTGTTGTTAATTAATGGAAGTGCTTCCCTCTTTCCATTAGGTCTAATTTAATTGGAAAGAGCAGCAATCTCTTGCCCAGCCCTGGCAAAATTTGTCAGGACAGCCAGCAAACGCTGCATGACACGGCATATCTCTTCTCCCATCTGTCCGAGTGAACAGGATTGTCCACCAGTTTTCTATGGCCTGCATAGGAATTTAAACCTGTTTTGCCAGTACTCCAATCAGCCCTGAAGGGTCAGGTCTGGGAGCCACCATTAAAAATTCCCACAGTGCCACTGATGTAGCCTTGGCCCAGGGCATTGTGGGTAGCATAACCAGCTGTGCCTAGTGCTAATAAGAACAGTGCTGTCGGGCACTGTCCCCCCAGGACACCCCCCCCAGTGGCCATTTTGCTTGAGGTCTTCCCCAATCTTGGAATCAGCCCTGACTTCGGGTACCAAATTCCTGTCTCTTAGCCAAGTTGTAATCCACTCTTGCATTATTAGCTGGAGGAAGCACTGATTTGCAAGAGATGGAAGTTACGATTTATGCCGGTTAGGGTGCTGCAGGACTATGCTGAGATTTTCTCCCTGTTGAGCTAGATTGCTACATGTAGGGAGCTTTTGATGTGCATGGAAAGGACATCCTCCCACCTGCTTTTTGGGGAGTTACAGTTCTGAATTCTGGTATGCCTCACCTTCTTCTGCTAGGAGTACCCCATATTAAAGGACTCTTTCTAGAATCATAAGATTGGGTAGAACGTTAGAGGTCATCTAGCCCAACCCTCTGTTCAGTGCAGGATTGCCAATGCAGGCTGTAGCTACAGCATCCCCAGCTGATGGCCCCAACTGAAGTGTCTCTTTCTCCTGCATGAGAGCTCTTTTAAGTCAATACTTCCAGCTCCACAGCAGTTGGTGGTTTGTTCTTAATGGCTATCCATCCAGGCAGTCAAACAGCTAAAGAAAAGTACATGGGGCCCAGGGGGCCCAGAGACATCAAAATAGCTGTGCTGCTCCACTGCTTGCACCATCCGGAAAGCCGTTCGTAGGACTCAGAGGAGGAAGGGTGGGCCTTCCATCTTGTGCAGTCTAACTGTGCAAATTGCCAGAGTCGGCTCTCGTCGCTAAAGCCTAACGAGCTGCTGGCCAGCCTTTCCCAGCGCACGGCTCCCTCGATGCATTGGACTTGCTCAGATTGTTCCCGGCCAGCACAGCCCATGTGCCTGGGGATTATGGGAGCTGAGGGACATTAGGGAAGCAGGTTGAAAGTGACCCTGAGCCCTCAATAGCTCAAGGACACAATAAGCCAGTGTGGTGTAGTGGTGAGAGCGTGGGACTGGGACTCAGAGGATCCGGGTTCGAGTCCCCGCTCAGCCATGGAGCCAACTGGGTGACTTTGGGCCAGTCACAGACTCTCAGCCCAACCTACCTCACAGGGTTGCTGTTGTGGGGATAAGATGGAGGAGGAGAATGATGTAAGCTGCCTTGAGCCCTTTGTAGGAAAAAGGCAGGATATAAATTGGAAAATAAATAAATAAATAAATAAATGCCTTCCTGGTTTGGGTCAAGGCCTGGCACCGTTAAGTGAGGTGCTACCTGTCTTCTCTGCTCTTAAAATACGATGACTACCTGCCTTCCCCTTGGGGAGTGCAGAATATAGAAACAGAGAAACAGAGCGAGCCAGAAGGACCCTCCTGGGCAGCTCCTCAAACAGGGATGTTGGATCGCTTTCTGTTCAGGGGCCAAGTTCCATTTCAGAGTTTTTGGAGCTACACTCCAGGCAGATCCATTGACAACACCAGACTGTGGCCAAAAGCAAAAATACAGAAAAGCCCGGTGTATTTTAGCTCAACACCCTTTGGGGCTGTAATGAAGCCTTTGGGGAGGGATATCAGGCTTTTAGAAGGGGGAAAGAACTGCAGAAGTGCTGGCAAACCGCAAACACGGTTGGCTGGTGGGGAGGGGAATGATTTTCTTGGAAACCTGACAAGACAACGAGTGGCCGTTTGGGCCAGAGGTTCTGCATCCTTGAGCTAGAGAACAGAACTTTCCATGGTTTGATTCTCTTCCAGCCCACCTGCAAAGTTGCAATGGATAAGATCCTCGAGGCCATCCTGATGTCTTCTTACCCTGACCACATGAAACAAGGGCTGGTCAGGAGAGTCGTCGAGGCTTCGAAGCAGTCCATGGACAGTGAGCAGTGCTGGTCAATGCTTGAGCTTTCTACGAAGCTCTTCCTGGTGGGTGACACCAAGTTCAAGAGGTCGGTCGGCAAAGAGGTCCTGGAAGCCTTTGGGCTTTATCACCAGGAAGCTTTTGAGGAGTTCTTCAACGTCCGTTTCCTCCTCAGCCTCCTGCAGGAGGGATACGGCCCTCTTGGGAAAAGAAGCCTTTATGTCTTTGATTATATCCACCTGGGGTTGCCATTCATTCTGGGGAGTCCCTTGGTCGACGACATTTTCAGCCTGCTGAGGACAGAGGTTCTCCGTAAGGTCTGCGAGAAGCCGGGGCTTAAGCAGTGCGTGAAGATCTGCAAGCTCTTAACACAGTACCCGCAGTGTATCCCCACAGGCAAATGCCAAGCCCTCTTCTGTCAGCAGCTCATACGATGTATCGGGCAATTCCACCCTGTCTCAGGCCGAGAAGAGGCCATCGTGGACTTCCTAGACCATGTGATCAAAGTTGGCCTCTTGCTGCAGAAGATCTGGAAGACTCAGATGGCCTCCATCCTCCCATCCTTGAAAGAACTCTTTGCAATCATTTCGTCCACAGGTAAGGATGCGTGTGTTTTTTGTCAGGTGGGAATCTGAACTTGGTTTGATTCTTGTTGCTAGCAAAACACTCTCAGTCATGACTGGTGGAGGGATTAAATATTATGGGCTTCTGCAACTTGGTATATGCAAGAAGGAGGCATTAGTGTGCCCTCAAGGAGACAGTGTCCCCAGGTGCACCTATTCTCATGCATGCAGGAAACCAAACAGGTGTATTGGGGAGGCCCAAGGGAGGGGGCTCATTCATCGTATTCAGTCGTTTGTCTACCGTGAGCAAACAGACCTGGCTTTGCTGGGGCTGAAATGCCCTTAATTGGATACAGTGAAGTCTTCAAAGAAACTTACACCATTGTCAAAGGTGGACACAAAGTACTTGCCATAAGTCAAGACCCACCAATAGATGCCCCTAGAAATAGCCCCTGCCCCCCTGTAGCCCCCTGAGAAGCCGTGGGGAGGGTGAAGCCAAAATCTCCCTTAGTCCATCATCTCTGGCTTCTCACACTACAGACTGCTAACAGATGTGCTGGTGGGAGAGCTCTGCCTCCTAGTGGCCAGAGATGTTGTGGCAGGCTTCAGTCACAAGGATGCATTCAATTAAAATCAATTGATGCATTTTAAAGAAACAATAACTTCAAGGCACACCCCCCTAGGGTTGCCGTGGTAGGCATGCCAAGCCTCAAGTGGGTAGATTTAACAGCTTGGGTCTTACATTGTAAACGGATGGACAGTTGCACTTATAAAGTTATTATAATACATTTAGTTCTCTATCGCACATCCCAAGGTGGCATCCAGAGCCCTCTCCCCTCACAATAGCCTTGTGAAGTAGGTCAGAATGAGAAGTAGTGACAAGCTCAATTTCATACATGTTGTGGCTGAGTGGGGATTTGAAGCCTAGTTGAAGAGAGAGGTTCGTGGTTCCCTTAATGGGTGGTATAGAAATCAGTCAGTCAGTCAACCAGCCAATCAGATGCTAACCAGTACATCACACTGGTTAAGTCTCCTTGATCTTGGTAATTCTGGGCATTGAGAAGGAAGCCTGCTCGCCTCTGCACGGCACATGTGCCTGTCCTGGGTGCTCTTTCTTGGCCACCCTGGAGTAACTTCTGCAGACCTGGAGATACCTTCAAGCTTTCCTTGAGTTACACCCTGGCCCCATTTTGGCTACAGTCCTGTTGGGAATCACGAGCGAGGTTTGCTTTTGGGGGACACATGATGTTACCTCCTTCCTTCCCTTCAAAATCTTCCTTCTGCATGACGTTGATCCTGAATCCTACTGCAACTAACAGAGCAATCCAATGCACCTTAAACAGGCTCAGCCTCTTTCCCTTCCCATTCAAAGCCATGCAGCCAGGCGGCCAAAATCAGCCCTTTGGCTGCTTTGCAGAGATGGAGGGGTGCGGAGGTCGCCCTTGCCTCTGCTTCTTCCCGCGCTGCATAGGATGCCCATCAGGAGTTGGGAGGGTTACAGGCAATGCCCCTGAATTGTGCCTTGAACCTAAATAGATGTACTCAGAATAGTGCTTATGTTTTCCTCCTCTTTCTCTGGTGTCATGTGATTGTACTGATGCATCTGTGTCCTTGAGAGCCCTGGGCAGCAGGAATGGTCAGCTACGAATATTTCTCCAAACAAATAAAGCCCAGGTGGGGCAGAATAAAACTTGGTGGGTGAAGAGTCCTCCTCCTCCTCCTCCTCCTTGTAATCTGATTCGTTGGTTGTATCTCAATGGCTTTGCAGAAGACCAGTATGCACCATCCATTGCCTTGGCCAGTGTGGTCCAGTACGTTCCGCTGGAGCTCATGGACGGGATCTTAAGAAACCTCACCAATGATGACAGCATAACAGATGTGCAGATGATGATGGCTATTGGAAGGTAGGAGATACTGGGAGGAGACCGCGTCCGAAGAAGGGCCACAGTTGGACAAGGTTCCTCCTCTTCTTCCAGGCACATCTCCTCGATCTGCACTTCGTTTTCCTCTGTCCTGCACACCTAAAGTTTCTGTCAGGCACGCCACACCGATGTCCCTTTTCCAACTGTCGTTGCTGCTGCTGTGTGCTGTCCAGTCCTCTCCGTCACATGGTGATCTTATGAATGATAGTCCTCCAGACTGTCCCATACAGGACAGCCCTGCCCAGCTCTTGTAAACTGAAGGTTGTGGCTTCTTTATGGAGTCCCTCCATCTCACTGTCGGGCTTTGCTTCTGCCTGTGACTCTCCCTAGCATGAGTATGCTCTCAAGAGAGTCTTGCCTTCTCACAGTGTGCCCAAAATACGACAGCCTCAGCTCTGCAATTTTTACTTCTAGAGAACATTCTGGCTTGAGTTGGTCTAGCAGTCTAGACTACTTAGAATCATAGAGCGGTAGAGTTGGAAGGGACCATAGAGGTGATTGGATTCAACCCCCTGCAGTTGCAGGACACCAAGTTACACCATCCCAGTCAGGTGGCTGTCCAGTTTTGCCTTGAATGCCCCCAGTGTGGGAGAGCCCACCACCTCTCCAGGCAGCTGGTCCCACTGCTGTATTGCTCGGACAGTGTGGAAGCTTTTCCTGCTATCTTGCCTGAATCTGGGTTGTTGCAACTTGAATTGATTATTCCATGTCCTACATTCTGGGATGAATGAGAAGAGATCTTGACCTTCCTTTTTGTGAGAGCCTTTGAGATACTTGTAGAGGGATACCATGTCCTCCCTCAGTCTTCTCTTCTCAAGGCTGAACATGCCCAGTTCCCTCAGTCTTTCCTCACAGAGCAGTGTTCCCAAACCCTGGATCACTTTTGTGGCCCTCCTCTGGCCCCTTTCATGTTTGTCCTTTCATCAGTCCAGGGTGTCTGCAAAGCTCTTGTCCAGAGCCGTATTCTGAAAGCACCCCTTTTTCCCCTGTTTGCTTTCTTCACTGTCCAGCTTTCACCCCCATACACGGTGATCAGGAAAGCACTAGCATGGATGATTTTGGCCTTGGTCTCCAGTGAAACTTCCTTGACCTTTCCCAACCAGATTTGGTTATCTCTCATTTTTCCCCCTGTGGAGCTAGTGGCAGAGCTACGTAACTGGCAGAGCTTTTCCTCAGAGACTGCAGGTTTCTAAAATTAGCCTTGGAAGATGGATGGCCTCTCGTCTTCATTTTAAAATAACCCGCTCTGCTAGTGCATGGCTGGGAGAGACATTAAGCAGACCCCACAAAATGCAATTAGGCTTACTCGAGAGATGGGTGGATGGCTTGGAGGAGACTTTAAAAACCAGTGGGCATGCCAAGTAGCTTTCTGCCAAACTGTCCTTGCTTTCAGGGCCTTTTGCAGATAATTCTCTTCTTCTGGGTTGATCTCTCTCTCTTTTTCTCACACACATACTGGTTGACTTAGGACAGAGCCTTGATGGTCCTTCCCAGCCCTTCCTTTCTATTGGGTGGCGGGGGGGGGGGGGGCAGAACTGGGCATGTTCATTTTATTTATTTATTTATTTATTTATCGATTTATAGCCTGCCTTTTTCCTACAAAGGGCTTAAGGCAGCTTACATCATTCTCCTCCTCCATCTTATCCCCACAACAACAACCCTGTGAGGTAGGTTGGGCTGAGAGTCTGTGACTGGCCCAAAGTCACCCTGTGCCTCCTGAATTTACCTGCTGCCTTCAGATGCTATCCCATCCCTGATATTAATATAATGCTCAAATAGGAGTCCAGCCAATGCGCAGAAAAGGAGTGTTGAGATGTAGCTTCCAGGCCAACAACTCCTGAAGCACGGTCAGAACATAAGAGGAGCCATGCTGGATCAGAACCAGGGCCTGTCTAACCCAGCATTCAGTGCACCAGCTCCCTGGGGGAAGCCTGTAAGCAGGGCAGGAGGGCAAGAACAGCTTCTCAGCCAGGTTCCCTGGCAACTGGCACGTAGGCCTGTGATCCTGGAGAGGGCAGGTGGCCATCAGGACCCTGAGCTGTAGCTTCTCGCCAACCCCCCTTTCTCCGTCTCTCGCTGCAGGATGATTGAATGGGTCTCCTGGCCTCTGGGGAAGAACATAGACAAATGGATCATAGCGTTGCTGAAGGGCCTGGCTGCAGTGAAGAAGTTTAGCATCTTGATCGAAGTCACCCTGTCCAAGATCGAGAAGGTCAGTTGGTTCCATCACAGTAGACCTGCCCTCGGTGCTTACGTACCTCACACGATAACCAGCTGAAACATTTTACTTGTTTTGGGGAAGTTCTTACAGAAATTTCAAAAGCATTGCTTCATTTCTGGCCTCTGTGGTTGAGCCAAAGTTTAGAGCTCTGAAATTTCTACCATCTCACTGGTGTCTTCCAGACACAATTCAAGATGCTGGTTGTATGTATGTATGTATGTATTTATTTAGGGGGATTTTGTATACTGTCACATTATTACAGAATCTCAAGGTGGTTTACACAAAAAAGACCAAAGGAATTCCCCCATATATTGAAACCAGTATTACAACAATAAAATAATTAAAAAGTGCCAGTACTTGCTGGGGCTAATTAAAATACCATTATTAATTTAAAAACTGGGAGAATAAAAAGGTTTTGGCCTGGTGCTGGAATGAATAAAACATGAATGTCAGGCATACCTCTCTGGGGAGTGAATTTCATAACTGGGGCTCTATTGCAAAGAAGACCCGCCTCCTCACCTCTTTCAAGGAGGGCTCTTTGGAGGAGGACCTTCCCAAAGCATTTGGGGCTTTATATGTTCTTGTGAATACCTTAAATCAGGGCCAGATTTCAGCTGATAGCCAGTGCAGCTCATATAGGCCCGGTGTGATGTGTTCTTGCCTACCAGTCCCTGCCAACAGCCTGGCAGCTCTATTTTGAACCAATTGCAATGTCTGGATCATCTTCAAGGGCAGCCCCATGTAGAACACATTGCAGTAGTCCAAGCGGGAGGTCACCAGTGCATGAGTCGCTGTTGCTAGGGCCTACCTGTCCAGGTGAGGACGCGGCTGATGGACTAGCCTCAGCTGAAGGAAAGCACTCCTTGCCACAGATGCCACCTGGCATTCCAGGGATGGCTTGGGGTGAAGGAGTACTCCCAAGCTGCATACCCTGTCCCATAGGGGGAATGCCACCCTGTCCAAGGCAGGGCGAATATCCCTGAGTTTTAACTTAGAAAGCCTGAATCAGCCTTCTGCTACTTGGATGCTTCTTGCTGTTTTTGGCTTTCGCTCCCTTGAGCCCCAGGCAACATGGCCAACAGCCAGGACTTTTGTAGTCCAGAGGATCTGGAGCACACCAAGTTGGAGAAGACAGCTCTAAATAGCTTAGGCCTCACTTTTATCAAGGGTGCATCCATTCCGTCCCTGTTCAATCAGTTGTTTCTTTCCATGAGAACTCCAAGTTTACAGAGCTGCACAGCATTTGCAAACAAGAGTACATACTCCAGACCTCCTAAGCTAAGGCATAATTAAGCAGTGTGCACTCTGGCTGGACTACAAGACATTGAGTTACAGCTCTCATCATCCCTGGCCATTGGACATGCTGGCTGGGGCTGCTGGGGCTTAGAGTTTAGCAACAAGGAATCATGGAATAGGAGAGTTGGAAGGGGCCATCAGGCCATTGGGTCCAACCCCTGCTGTTGCAGGACACCAAGCCACACCGGCTGTCCAGCTGACTCCAGGGTGGAAGAGCCCACCACCTCCCTAGGTCAGGGGTTCCATTGTCATCCTGCTCTGACAGGCAGGAAGTTCTTCCTGAGGTCCAGCCAGAGAACTGGCTTCCTGGAACTGGAGGCCGTTATTCCTCGTCCTGCACTCTGGGCGGTCCTGGCCTCCTCCGCTGGGGCAGCCTTTCTGCCAAGCGCTGTCCTGCCTTCCCTCAGACTTCTCTTCCCTAGGCTAAACATACCCAGCTCTTTCCCTCTCTCCTGACAGGGCTTTGCTTCCAGTCCCCGGATCATCCCTGTTGCCCTCCTCTGAACCCTTTCCAGCTTGTCTGCATCTTTCTTCAACTGTGGTGCCCAGAACGGGACACAGGACTCCTGAAAAGGCCTAACCAGTGCTGAGTAAAGAGGAACTAGGATTCATGGGGTTTTGACGTGATCCCTCTATTAATGCAGCCTAAGATAGCATTTGCCCCCTTTTCAGCCACATCACACTGTTGACTTATCTCCAGCTTGTGGTCTAAAAGGATTCCAGCACCTAGAGGGTGCTGCTTGATCGCAGTGAGCATTTCCTTGCTGATCTGCAGACCAACACCTACCTGCTGTAGCATTTTTTGCAAGAATCCCAGAAACCTGCAGTTGCTAATTTAACCTTCTGCCCAGTCCTCCTTTGATGGACTGCCAGAGAGTTTACTTGTCCTGTTATTTATTTAAAACATTTTTATGCCGCCCCCATTGCGACAAAGCCTCGGGGCGGCTTATATACACTACAAATATATACAAAATTATATTAAAACAAAGTTATACACTAAAAATATTAAAACCTGGTGCATCTCGGCTTAAAAATTTTAAAATCTTACATAATAAATTAACACTTAAAATAAGTTTTAAATAAAAAGGTCTTAGCCTGGCGCTGAAAAACAAATAACGACGGCGCCAGGTGGACCTCTCTGGGGAGCACATTCCATAGGTGGGGCACCACCACAGAGAAGGCCCTCCTCCGGGTACTCACCCTCCTAATATCCTTCACAGAGGGTTCCCGGAGAAGGGCATCGGTTACTGATCTCAAGGGGCGGGAGGGCATATATGGGCGCAAGCGTTCCTTTAGATACCCAGGGTCCAAGCCGTTGAGGGCTTTATTGGTCATAACCAACACCTTGAATTGGGCCCGGACTTTAGTCGGGAGTCAGTGGAGCTGACGGAGAACTGAGGTTATATGAGAACAACGCCCAGTCCCCATCAGCAACCTGGCAGCTCTATTCTGCACCAATTGAAGTATCCGGACCGTCTTCAAGGGTAGCCCCACGTAGAGCGCGTTACAGAAATCTAATCGGGAAGTTACCAGCACGTGTGTCACTGTCGCCAGGCAATCGTTCTCCAGGAAAGGACACAGCTGATGGATCAGCCGAAGCTGAAGGAAGGCGCTCCTCGCCACCACCGTCACCTGGGCTTCTAAAGACAGCTCAGGATCAAGGAGCACTCCTAAGCTGTGAACCCTTTCCCTCAGAGGGAGTGCAACCCCATTCAGGACAAGGTTCAATTCACCCTCTCCAAAGCCCGATCCGCCAACCAACAGGACCTCCGTCTTGTCTGGATTGAGCTTCAGTTTATTGGCCCTCATCCAGCCCATTACCTCGGCCAGGCACCGGTTCAGCACAGCCACTGCCTCACCTGGATTGGTGGAAAACGAGAGGTAGAGCTGGGTATCATCAGCGTACTGATGATTCCGCAGCCCACACCTCCTGATGACCTCCCCCAGCGGTTTCATGTAGATGTTGAATAGTTATGGCTATCAGATACCTCAAGCCCTCTTAGCAACACTACCTAGGTAGCAATCGCAGATAATAAGGGTGCAAAGAGAGGCATTCCAGGTGGATGCCCCCACTTTTGGAACTCTCTCAGCAAAGGTCCAAGCCTTTTGGAAGTGCTACATTTTGAAAGCCAGAGTTGAGAGCTGGCAGTAGCCTTTCTGATTGCAAAAGGTGCCCAAAGAGGGCTGGAATGGCCCAAACCCTGTTTGTTGAGGAGCAGCTTTATTGGCTGGCTTTCTCCTGCTCTTTCCTTTTGTAGCTGATCTTCTTTGCTCCTCCGCCTCTCAACCGCTGGAGAAAATTAGCCAAATGGAGACAAATAAATGAAGATAAGTCAGGGCATGATTTTTTGTCTCAGTGAATATGAATAAATTCCCTTTGATTTTCCTTGCTGGTGTGGCAGGAAATTAGTATTTCTGAATGAGCAGCACTATCCGTTTTATTTTTTCATGGGTTGAATATTAGATTTAACTTGGCTCTGAGTTGTCAAAGGGTAGGAGCCTTAATTCGATGGAATTTTTTTGTTCTTTAATTCTTTTGGATGTCTCAGGATTTAGGATGTGTACTCATACATCCCTTAATTCAATAAACCATCATGAACCAGGAGTCTTGATCATGTATCTTTTGGCACATTTGTAATTGCAAACCTGTTTTTCTATCTCCTTTTTCTGTAGGTGTTTTCCAAGTTGCTCTATCCTATTCTGAGAGAAGGAGCGCTCTCAGTTCTGCGTTACATGCTGCTCAGCTTCCAACATTCTCATGAGGCATTTCATTTGGTAAGGCAGGGCCGACTGGCTACCTTCCTAATTAAGTGTACAGATGCTTCTTTACATAGAGAGAGAAGGGGGGCAGGATTTCAAAGCAATCTGTGTTTCCTAATAGCCAAGCTGTGCTTTACATGTTCTTGGCAAGGAAACTTCACTTGGACCAAAACATGTTGGATGTTCCATTAAGAATTATTTCCCCGAAGGAGAGTACCATCCTGTATTTCTGAATCTTCTAAGTGGAAGGAGGCAAATCTAAAGAACAAGTTGTGCAAATGGGAGGTTTTCTCCCAGGCTAGATCATTTTCCTGCATTTCAAGGGAATGAATGCAGCACTGTGAAGGGTGCTCTTTGAGGACATTCTGTAAAGTTGGTGCAACCACCCAAAAGGCCCTGTTGCCTGCTTAAATTCATTTGGCAACAACACCCCCAGCGAAGTCTTTGAATGCTTAATTGATACCTGTAAGAATTCATCATGATACAAGAAATGATCGTGGGCACCTTATAATATTAATTACGTAACTGCAGCTCTGTGCTGACCATTAGAGTTTTTAAGGCAATGCACAAAAATTAAAACTTTAAAATGCAGCCTGATAAAGTAGAATATAAACTCTTAAAAGTTCAAAACAGGATAAAATCGAAGTATATAGTTCTGGGAGATGTTGAAATAGCCTATATTGGTATTCCTCCCTTAATGCTGTAGGATGGGGTGTATGTAGAGGAGTGAGTTTGTATTCACAGTTGTGCATACACTGTGCTATTAAAGATATATAAATCAACGTTCTGCACGTAAAAAAACTGAATTCTGCTTCTTTTGTAGATGCTATAGAAGAATCCAACTGACATGTTTTGTGCCAGTTTCCTTCTGCTAGTCAAGAGGAGGAAAATCAAGAAGCAGCTAGGGCTTTTAAGTATCTAGTGTTGCATCCACTGGACACTAAAAACCCAAGCAAATTGTATTTGCATGGCCCATGAGGACTAGAAACTTAATTTTATTTATATGTGGATGTTCTGAAGGCAGTGCCTGGTACATATTTGCAAGGAATGCTAGAATCTAGGCAGTGTTAAGTCTCATTAGTTAAGCTAGGATCCATTTCACCAAGAAGCACTCCTACTACTGACCCAAGCAGAGATGCTTGTCTCTCCGAAGCCAGTTTTAGAGCTGGTGAAACCAAAACTGGACAGTTGGAACTGACCTTGAACCAATGCATAATGATCTCTCCCAAGAATCTGTTTGAGAGGGAAGAGGTGGGCTACCTCTGTCCAGGCCTGGGTGATTGGCTGGCCCATGATTGGGCTGCCAAGAGAGGGAAGAGCATCGAGCGGAGACACAGTGAATGCTTAAGGATCTGGATTACCAGATTGGGGGTTACCCCTCCTGGGCACTGCAGTGGTTCTGGCTATTTGGTTGGAGGGTGACTTTGCTTTGTCCTTTTCCAAGCTGCTTTCGCATATCCCCAGAGTGGTGGCTGCCCTCCACAAGGAGAATTCCAATTCGGCAGTGAGCTGCTTGGAGCAACTGGCTGAGCTGATCCACTGCATGTTCTTCCGCTTCTCAGGATTCCCGGATCTTTATGAACCTGTCGTGGAGGCCATAAAAGTAACCATTTCCTTTGTTGGTTCTGCATGCCACAAACTGGTACAGGGAGAGTGAAGATGATGCTTGATCTCTTAGTAACAGAGTCGACACAATAGCACCAAGTTTGAGACTCAGAGTTGGGTTCAAGTTCTACCTGAGGCACAAGTGTATTTGGAGGGCTTGGAAAAGATGACTGCCTCTTGGGGTTGGTGGACAGCAATGCAAAATGGGAGAGTAAAGGTGTCCAGGATGAAGCGGGCAAATGGTCAAGTTAGCCCCATGTCCTGTTTTCCCACAATGCCCCGGTCAGATGTTTCTAGTTCCCCCATAGCTGAGGGGTGGAGGCAGCATTTTATTTATTTATTTGGAATTTTTGTATGCCGCCCCATTCGCATAAGCCTCAGGGCGGCTTCCAACATATAAATAAATATCTATACAAATACATATAAAAACTGGAAACATCCTGGCATAATAAATAACCAATAAATAAAATCAGCAATTATTAAAATATCGTTTATATAAAAAGGTCTTAGCCTGGCGCCGAAAAACAAATAACGACGGTGCCAGGCGGACCTCTCTGGGGAGTGCATTCCATAAGTGGGGCGCCACCGCAGAGAAAGCCCTCCTCCTAATATCCTTCACACAGGGCTCCTGAAGAAGGGCCTCTGCTACCGATCCCAAGGGGCGGGAGGGCAAATATGGACACAGGCGCTCCTTTAGATAACCAGGTCCCAAGCCGTTAAGGGCTTTATAGGTGATAACCAGCACCTTGAATTGAGCCTGGACTTCAATGGGGAACCAGTGAAGCTGGTAGAGGACTGGGATTATGTGAGAGTAACGCCCAGTCCCCGTCAGCAACCTGGCAGCTCTATTTTGCACCATCTGAAGTATCCAGACCATCTTCAAGGGCAGCCCCACGTAGAGTGCGTTACAGAAGTCCAACCGGGAAGTAACCAATGCATGCGTCACTGTCGCCAGGCAATTGTTCTCCAGGTAGGGACGCAGCTGATGGATCAGCCGAAACTGGAGGAAAGCGCTCCTCACCACCACCGACACTTGAGCTTCCAAAGTCAGCTCCGGGTCGAGGAGCACTCCCAAGCTGCGGGCCCTGTCCTTTAGAGGGAGTGCAACCCCATTCAGGACAAGACCCAGGTCCCCCACCCTGAAGCCCGACCCGCCTACCAACAGGACCTCTGTCTTGTCTGGAGTGCTCCCTTGTCCCCAGAACCTAGAATCTGGAGTGCTGCTGTTTGTAAAAGAGAAGTTTCCTGAAGCTATCATGACAAATAGCTGTTGACAGACCTCTGCTCAAATATTTTTCAAGGAAAGTTGCATGTTCTTGGCAAAATGGCTTCTTGGGCCTTAACATAAGATGATCTTGCGGAATCAGACCAAAAGTGACCATATTCCAATGGGAAGTCCACAAGCAGGACATGAGTGCAAAAGCACCCACCTACTTGTGTTCCCCAGTAGCTGATATACCAGAGTACACTGCCTCTGATACTGGGGGTGGCAAATACCATCAGGACTAGAAGCCATCGGCAACTCTGCCCCCCATGAGAACAATGTCAACATGAGTAGTTAGCAGCCAGCAAGGGAAGTCTATCTGGGGACCAAAGCTAGAAAGCTATACTGTGGGTATAGAGATGGGGTTGGGGACTGTCCACTCCTTATCCAGTACCATCTTTTATGGCTAGAGCAAACCTGACATGAGTAGTGCCTGAGGTTATAAGTAAAGACGGCTAGCAAATTCACTGCAGATCCCTAAAAGGGCTGGCCGTCTGGAAAAACTAACAGAATTCTTAAATCTGCTACTGACTCTGCGTTTTTGGCTTCTTTCTACTTTGTAGGCGCTTCCAATTCCCAATGAAGACCGAATCAAACACCTGCTTGGGCAGAATGCCTGGACCTCCCAGAAGAATGAATTAGCCAGCTTTTATCCCCGTCTGGTTTCCAAGTCTGAAACAGGGAAAATCGGGTTAATTAACCTAGGAAACACCTGCTACATGAACAGCATCATCCAAGCTCTCTTCATGGCCTCGGAGTAGGTCTCCTTCTTGCCCCTGTGCCGTCGCTTCCTCCTCTGACCTTTGAGCGATCATTTTACATAGTTTTCCTTTCTTATCTATGCCTCATAATTTACGTATAATTTGATGGGTAACTGTTGACCTGCCCTTAAATTACCCACACTGGTCTCCATCCTTTTATGTTTCTCCATAGTCTTACACTTGACTGGCTTTCTGAATAGGCCATGGATGCGGTCTGGGCCTCCAAAGTCTCCTGGGCGACCAGTGCGTCCATTCATTCAACAAGCCGAGAACAAAAGACGGCGCTTTTAGCCATGGATTTGAGCAGAAAGTTCTCTGCTTCTGCTGCAGCAGTTGCAGCTGCTTATTCCCCTTCCTGGGAGATGGGAGAAGAACAAAGCTGCTTCATTCGAGCAGTTTTGAGTTCTGTCAGCCCTTATCTAGGGAAAATACTTGGGGGGAAAGGCTGCAAGACTTTCTTCTTTCTAAGGACATGAAGGCCACAAGGCCTTGGCTTGGATCCAAGAAACGCTGCCAGCTTCGGGATTTGGGAAAGTTGGTTCCATCCCCCTTTGGCGCTCCTTGCCATGCTCCTGGTTACTTCATACTGTTCCTATTATTTTGCCCAGCCATTGGGTTTGGGTTTCCCACCAGGTCCCCTTGTAGTGCCCCAGTGCTTTGTGGGAATTTTAAGTGACCACTCTGTTGGAGCATTGCCATTTCCTGCTGCCACCAGACAGCACTTAAGCCTCAGGACCTGCTCTGCGGGTGCTACGTGGAATCGGTTTTACATTGTGCTGTGTGAAATGGCCACCGGGCAGTGGAACAGAGGGCACGGACTAAGAGGTTTTCCTCCACAGCCCTGCCAATATGAGGGGATATGGCTTGAAGAAACTCTCCCCTCTCCTCCACCCCAGCTGCCCTTCAACCCTAACTGGACTCATTTACACATGACTGCAAGACTTTGTCTGGGCATGTGCAGTGAGCCATTCTATTTCTGTGGATTCACTGTTCCTGGAAGGCCCAAGACTTCTCTTTACAAACTCTAATGTGGCTTTTGATGAACTGCCCTGCTTCTGCTTCTGATGTTTCTTAAACTTTGTTTTCAAGTTTCAGGCGTTCAGTGCTGAATCTAGCCGAGAACAATTCCCAGCCTCTGATGGCTAAGCTGCAATGGCTCTTTGCCTTCCTCGAGCACAGTCAGGTAACTTTGACTAATAATCCCAGCATGCGTCTCATGCATTTTGCATGTCCAGAGCATTTTCGCCTACATTGTGTGCCACTGTTACAGCAGCCTTGTAAACCAGATCGGTGTTACTCCTCCTGCATTCCAGCTGGGGCAAGCAGGGAGGAAACACCATTGGACTGGGCTTCCTAGAGAGGCCCGCCAGGCACCGTCACTGCTTTCATTCCGGCTCCAGGCAAAAACTGTCCTTTTCTGCAGGTATTTTGAAACATGATTTTAACAACTTGCCTGTAAGATTTTGTTCTATTACCAGCATTTGGGTTTCCTCCCACTCCAGAAACTGTGGTGTTCAATTGAATTGTAATTAAATTGGCCTTGTATCTTGTTGTTTGCCACTTAGGGAGGCCTGTTGGGTTACTCAGTGACCTATACATTTAAAAATGAATGAATGAATGAATAGAATAAATTAAAAGCCGAGGCCGAGAGGGGGTATGTTGCTTACAGCCCCCGGTATGGCCCACACCCCACCCATGGGAGAGTGCATCCACTCTTGCAGTGCAGTCCTCTCCATGCCAACTCAGAGCACTTTCAAAGAGGTTTTTCCCAAATAAATGGGTGCAGGACTGCAGCCCTAGTTTCCAAGTCTGGAGATTTTGACAAAATGGCACACTAGGGTTTGCCTGAAACCAGGATTAGTGGGAGTGAGTTGCCTTGTGTTTGGGCGAGGTGGATGTGTCTTGCTCTTGCCCGCGTTCGTTCTAGTTTTATCCCTCCCTCCCTGCTCAGTGTGGCAAAAATGCTTCCCTTCTCCTCCTCTGCGTTCTTTCCTCCCCCTCTTCTTCCTCCTTTGTACTAATAGAACTCGCGTTTAACCTCCCTTCCAGGGTGCCTGCCCTCACAGCTTGTCTTACAAGAAACCTAAGCTCAGTGCTAGAATTAAGCATGGGTGCAGACACAGCAGACACAGCACTGCATGCAATCCAGGATTAAATGAGTCGCTAGGTCTGTGTTTTTTTTAGAGAAGAGCCAGCAGGGATGAAATCCCATCTCTCTCCCTATCAGAAGGGAGCTCCTATGGTAGGGAGCCATCTCTGAGGAGGCTCTGCCCCTTCTACCCTCCAGCCTAATGGCTCTTGCCAGCAGTCCATCTTCACAACAGCCCAGTGGGTAGATTAGACCGGGAGAGTTACTGGCCCAACACTGGCGGGGAGCTTCCAGCTGGACTCCGGCCCTCTTGGTTGCAGACCAGCACTCTGGCCCCCTGCCAGCACTAAATGCATCACTGCCGATAATGCCTGAATCGTCTCTTAGCAGTGGCATCACGCAGACTCTCATCCTAATCTCGAGTTCTGCCTGAGAATGGGCTAGGAATCCATTTGGGAGTGGGAACCCACTGGATTCCCTTTGCTCAGCTCCCCGGACTCCAGTCCACTTTGCAGTAGCCCGGAGTCCTGAGCCCTGGCAAGCATGCCCTGCATGTGTGGGGAATCCAGCCCCACATGCTGCACAGACAGAGCGTGGGAGCTGAAGCCGGAGGTGCTTCCTTGGTCCTGCAAGTTTGGGCGCAGGAGTGATCGCTAAGGCAGCCTTCCCCAACCCGGCATCTCGCAAATGGGTTGGCCTACACCCCCATGTTCCTGAGCCACCGTCTGGGCTAGCAGAGGCCGATGGAAGCCGAAGACCAAAACATCTGAAGGGCCCCAGGATGGGGAAGGCATGGTTAAGGTACGGCAAAGCCCTGCCCTCATTAAAGCGACTGGGAAGATCCAAGAGCAGCAGACGCTTTCCTTTATTTAGAGCTGCAGCGCTCAGTCCCCGGCAGTCTGGGGCCACGCGCCTTCCCGTCCCGTCACTGAAATGGCTACTGCAGTGCTGCCAGATTGGCTGGCAAAATTTAGCAGCAGAGCAGTAGCAAAAAGCAGCTTCTCCGCAAAAGAAGCAGGTGCCTGCTCCACCATAGCTTGAAGTCGATGCAGCTTGACCTCTGCAGTTTGGAGACGAATTAATTTGTTTTGTCAATTTGTACCCAGTCTTCTTGCTTACTGTCCACAGTGGGGTGCAGCTTTAAAACAATTTAATCTACAGATATAGCAGTTGCAACTGCTCCCACCACCATTAAATGCCTGAAATGTGCAGCCTTAATATTTTATTTATTTCTCTATTTCTCTATTTATTTCTCTATTTATTTCTCTATTTATTTCTCTATCTATCTATCTATCTATCTATCTATCTATCTATCTATCTATTTATTTATTTATTTATAAGTTTGTATGCCGTCCAGTTACTAACGTCACTGGAGGGCTAACAGCATAAATAAATTGGCAACCCACTCTGGCTGCAATTAATAAAATACAATAATGAAATTTGATATCAAAACTTATTAAAATATTGATTAAATGTTTATTTATTTATTTAATAATATGCCGTCGTTATGTTGAAAAGGGCAGGACAGGTGTCCGGGGGCCGTCTTTTTACTCTTTCTCCGTTCTCCCCTCACCTCCCAACTCTCTTCCTTCTCTTTTCTCCCATCTCTGCCAGCGCCCTGCCATCTCACCTGAAAGCTTTTTTTCGGCTTCATGGCCTCCCTGGTTCACCCGGGGAGCTCAGCAGGACTGCTCTGAATACCTCAAATACCTGCTCGATCGGTAAGTTGGCTCATCTTTGAGAATCCTGAGCACCTGACTTCTTGACTTTTTAACCCCAATTCATCTGGTGGCACGAAGAATTTGTTTCTGGCCAAAGCTTTTGCAAATGCTTCTCTGCTGCATCAAATATGGGTGTCCACAAAAGCGCCAGCCAGAATAAAGTTCATCGCCTTGATTGTTAGTTCTTAGATTTGACTGCTTTGGCTATCTGTGTATTTTTGCAACATCCAAGCTTGGGCTGTATATTCCTTGGAGGGAGCAGTTTTGCTGCTGTGTTTTGCTTGCCAGCATTTCCTGAGTAGAAGGTGGGAAGCGTGACTGGTTACATCCCAGTGGTGGGCCGTTAAGGACATTGCCTAGTTGCTCTCCGCTCGGGAGATGCTGCCCTTGAACACTCATTCTGCACAACCCCTGCTAGCAGGACTCTTCCCAACTGGGCGAGCCCCGCACACAAACAGCCCCTCAAGCTTTCTGGCAGGGAAAAGTAATGCTGAGCTGTGGGAACGCTGCTTGCCCACCCATTGTCCACAGCCATGACTGATCGGTTATCTCATTTATGGTTATCTCATTTAATATAGTCCCGTTAACTTAGATTTTTATCCCACATGTCTTCCTAGGAGCTCAGGGTGGCATGTAGGGTTCCCCCCACATTATATCCTTCTTTATATCCTTTTTATTTAACTGTTTTTTTTAAACTTTTTAAAATCTTAATGCCTAACAGTCGCTTTTATTTAACTTATTTAATTTGTATTTTTTGGTTGATTGTTATTTATTGCTGTTTTATTGTGGTTGTTTTAATGACTGTAAGCCGTCCTGAGATGCCATGCATAAGGGACGGCATACAAAAGCTTTAAATAAATAAATATCCTTCCAACAACCTTGCGAGGTAGATTAAGTTGAAGGGGCTCCTGGTTCAGTGTTGCCCACTGGCCATCAGGGCAGGTGGGGATTTGAACTGGGTTTTCCTGGTTTAGTCCCAGCCTGGCATCCTGCACGGATATTGGACTGCAGTTCCCACTGTCGTCCAGCACATCCGGAGGGTACCAGGAAGGAGCAGGCTGAACAGAGAATTGCACCAGGCCAAGCGCAATGCCCAGGTTCACCTCATCCCTGCCGTGGCAGCGTGACCGAGCATGGCACTGAATTCGGCTCTTGTTTAAACGATTTAGTGTACAATCCTAGGCAAGTCTAGCCAGAGAAAAGGCCTACAACTCCCAGACATACTTTTCTTCTGTCTAGACTTGCACAGAGTTGCTACTTCAGATGCCGCATTTCTTATTCCAGGCCTCTTTCTTCAGCGATGCTGGTTGGCCGTCAAATAGCAACGATGGTGGATTATGGCTAGTGCAAGTAAAATGTTTAGTTTTAAGTTATTAGGGCCTCGAGCCGGACTAAATTAGATGTATTTAGGCTTCATTGTAAAAAATCAGTCATGCTTTAGTGCTGTCAGTGTGACTGAAAAGTATGTGTTGCTGATTTACAAAGCAATCCTATAAATGTTTACCAAGTCCCACTGAGGGCAGTGGGGCTTACTCACAAGTAAGAGGTACAGGATTGTCTGACTCCAACTCCTTGTTTGATGCAGATTGTTATTAGAGACCTTTTTTTGATAACCCCTGATAAGCCATCATGAGCCATGAGTTTTCAATCATGAAGAACACCTGGGCTAAGGAGTTTTTAAAAAATTGTTGATTTATGGAGGAAGATCATCTGGAAAAACTCCTTAGCAGAAAAAGGTGAGGGAGGTTGGTCTTTCCTGACCCACACTTAGGCTAGAAGTAGACTCTGCAATGTACACAACCAACACCAGCAATGACAACTGTGTAGCTTGTTTCTCAGTCTGGTATGAGAAGGCATCCAGCAATGGATCGTCTGGCCATGTTGCACAGGAAGGAAATAGATTGTGTGAAGCAGGTGCCTTATAAACTTATCGGTGTCATGTTGCTACCATGACCTCCCTTTCCCTGCCACGGACAGCCACCTTTTTGTAGTTCAGGGTCTCCAGCACACCAGGGGAAGCTCTGCCAGAGTTTTCCGATTGTTGGTACCAAATTATTGGTATCCCATCTTCCCAGTTTGCTTGGTCTACTTTCATCACTGTTTATGTGAATATATTTTATTTTATTTATTTATTTATTTATTAAAACATTTTTATGCCGCCCCATTTGCCGAAGCCTCGGGGCGGCTTACAACAATAAATTAAAACAAATTAAAATATATGCACACACAAGATAACAACACACTAGAAGAGCATAAGGATAAACGCAGTAGTACGGGAAATAAATTGAGTCTTGTGTCTATGAAAGCAGCAGTGTCTTCCAAAATGAAGCTTTTGGTGTCCTTCGAAGATCAGGAAGACACAGAGGTCATTAGATCTCTGTTGGGAGACAGTTCTGTCCTTGTTGGGGCTTCGATCTTGCACTGGGAAGGCAGGGCAGGTGGGGAATTTAGCATCCAGTTCCTGTCATGGGCTGCCTGCACATCCTGGCATCCCATTCTGAACTTCAAGGTAGGGCTTCTTTCTCCTTATGCTCATTCTTATGTCCGTCCGTCCGTCCATCTATCCTTCCTTCAATGTCTGTTTTTCCTCCCCCACTCCCCAAAAAGGCTGCATGAAGAAGAGAGGACAGGAAGAAGAATTTACCAAAAACTCAAGGAGTCCACGCCAATGCCTCAAGCTGAGCGACAGAATGCCGCAAACAAGACGTTAGTTGAAAAAATGTTTGGGGGCAAAATTAAGACAAAAATTCGTTGTCTGAAGTGCCTAAAAGTCTCCTCCAGGGAAGAACCCTTCACAGACCTCTCCTTGGCTTTCCCACCAGGTGACAGCCAGGTGCCTGTAGCCCCTAGAAGTACCTCAGTTTTACCTGTAGAAGTAATGGGTCCACAGACCATTCAGCAAAGCGTAGAAGTGCAAAGCAGGCTGAGTAACTCACCAAGGAGATCAGGGGCACACATGCCACCAGTAGAGAATCCTTCTCAAGTGTTGCCGATTGAAACTTTGCGACCAGAAGGTCAACCGACACCTTTCTCTTCGAGATCTGAACAAGATGCCTTTCGTGTGAAGCCTGATGCAGATTCAGCACCGGCTTGGCAGAAGCCAGTTTGCGGTCCTGAGGGTTCCAGATCCGTCCCCGACTTGATCAATTATTTCTTATCCCCCGAGACACTGACAGCAGAGAACCGGTATCACTGTGAAAACTGCGCTTCCCTCCAAGATGCGGAGAAGCTGGCCGAGCTGACCGAGGGGCCTCACTACCTCATCCTCACCCTCCTGCGGTTCTCCTTCGACCTCCGAGCCATGCGGAGGAAGAAGATCCTCGACAACGTCTCCGTCCCGCTGGTGTTGAAGCTGCCCATCCTGACATCCTCGGAGGAGTGGAGCAGTGCCTCTCCAGGCAGGAACGGCAGGCGAGCCTCGTCACGCAAGGGCTTTGCTTCCATTGTGTATGACCTTTGCAGTGTGGTGGTACACTCCGGCGTCTCCTCGGAGAGTGGCCACTACTATTGCTACGCCAGGGAGTGTGAAGATGCTACCAGTGAGTGTGAGCTCACGGACGCCTCGCTGAACATCACCCTGGAGAAGCCGCCAGATGTTGCCATCCAGTGGTACCTTTTCAACGACACAAGGGTCTCTTTCTCGTCGTTTGAGTCGGTCAGCAATGTGACCTCCTTCTTGCCCAAGGACACGGCTTATCTGCTCTTCTACAGGCAGAGGATGACTCAGTCAAAAAGCATGGCCGAGGCTCCGGCAGAATCTGCCTGGGTAAACGGAGACTTGCATTCTCCAGATAAAAGCCTGATGGAAGCCATCGCAAAAGACAACATTCTCTACTTGCAGGTAACAATTAGTAGCTCCACTTTTAGTGGCTGCACTGCATTTAATGCTTCAGTCACAGTTTCAGTTAACCCTGGTTTGTTTGTTGCTAATGTACAAGACATGAATTGTCTTGTAGATTAGCAAACCAACTGTGGTTTGTTTTCTCTATTTGTCGTTTCTTTCATGCAGGCTTATTTGCCAGCCTTCAGAGCAGAATTTGTTTCAGGCTCCTGTTCCCTGGTACCTTTTTTTAGGGCAGGCAGCAGTGCAAACAAGCTAGGGATAAGCTGCTGTTTTGGGTTTAGATACTGCAGCAAGCCATGGTTTAAACAAGCCAGGCTTTGTAAATCAAAATCAAAGAAAGGCTTCTATTTCTGGTTCACAACTGGGTTATGGGTTCAAACACGATGACAAGCCAGCTTTCATCAAACCACACTATGCCTTAGCATTATGTGTGAACCAGGCCAGGATTAATGATAATGATCATCATATTTATTCTCTTTAAGAGATTGAATGACCTACTTGTGTTTGGTTTTGTGTGTGTGTGTGTGTTTGCCCCCTAGGAGCAGGAAAAGGAAGCTAGAAGCCGAAGTGCCTACATTTCCGCCTTGCCCAAGTCCCCTTTGTGGTGGAAGGACTTCGAGGGGGATGATGACGAAGGGTCCTCGGGGGGTTGCGGGCACGACCCCGGCGGAGGAGGGTCAAGCTCTTTCCACGGACTCGTCTTCTAGCAGGACCACATTTCTCAAACCCCAATGAACAGACCACACCGTACCTGTCACGCAAGACTCCACCACCCTCGTCCCCTTGACCTCTCCCATCCCCAGAATACGGGGAGAACACTTAGAGTGGCAGACAGTGCTACAACACAGTCCGACCCTCGACCCCACTCCTCTCTAGATCTCAGAATGGTAGCTTTCCGTTGGGGCGCTAGAAAGCCGATTCCCCACAGAACTGTACTTCCTAGGTTTGCTTATAGGAGGAAGGCAGAATGCTGTCCAACGTAGTTTGTAGAGTATTGAACTATACCAATCGGATTCCACACTCCTTGTAGAAGCATTGGAAATCCTTCTGGGACATCCCTCCACGGCCGTTCTTTTCTGTCAATACCCAGAGCTGGGTTTTGTCGATAACGTAAGGAAATTTCTTCCAGCAATTTCTTCCTCTGTCATTGGGTGCTTTTCCAGCACGAAGGATGAAAGTTGCAAGGAGCTGCATCTTTGTGCCAGCTGGAATTGCTGTTCTGCGTGGATGTTTCATGTGAAACGAGATGGAGGGAACCAGGAGCTTTGCTGGGCCAAAGCAATGTGGGGATTTATTTTGGTGAAAGGGTGAAGAAGTTACGCAGTTAACAGGTCTGGCTTTGGATATTTGGTCGTAGGTCGACAACATGCGCCCTGTGAACCGCAGGTGGTCCCTCCGGCCTACCATCACTGCAGCCCACAATTTGCCAAAGCAGCAAGCACCAAAACAAGCAGTTTTCTGCCAGTTTTCTGTGGGAAGCTGCCGAGTGGTGCAATAGCCCAGTTTAGCGGGAGGATGAGCTAAACTCACCTTTTTAACGGCCCTGCACCAGTGTGCTACTAAGGTTCCCCATTGGTTTATTTTTGCTGCCGCCACCAGTTTTCACGGAGTGCTGCTGCAGCTCCCGAAGCTCCTCAGATGCTCCTGAGCTGTCCATTCTTTCTTTCGATATGAAAATGGTACCTTTGCCCAAGCTTCTCCTCCATGCCTGTGGCGGGTCTTACAGCTCCTTTCTCATCTCTCCAGCTTTGCTGTGTGGCTCATCAGAGCCCCAGGGAGTCCTCTTCTCCCAGTGATCACAGTGCTAGGAAGGGTAAGGAGCTTCTGTCCAGCGCTGGCCTGGGCAGCCACATTGTGGTGGTCTTGTGTGGCACCTTCTCCCTGGAGTTCTTTCAAGGAATCTCAGCATCGAGACTGGCACTCCTGGCTGAGTTGCTCGTTTTCCCAGTCCACATTTTGTCATCTCTGAATTATGTAATGGCAAAGGTTGGTCACTTATATCTGTCGATCTATCGCTGATTAAAAAACCCCGTGGCTGTACCCCATATGTGTCTCATGTTGGGAAATCCATGCTAACAAGCTGTGTTCATTGGTTGTCCCAACTCTAGGCTTTCCTGGCTGGCTGGCTACTATTTTAAATTTCTATACAATGGTATACACTAATATATAAACATGTAAAATATACACCTGTTGTTGTGTATGCCTTGAAACTGGGCAGCCCAAAGGAAGTCATGCACATGGTGGGCATGTCATGAACGGAGCCGGCTAGAGCCGGGGGTCAGACTAGATGGCTCAGGATACACCTTCTGACTCCCTCTGTTTCTGTTTCTAAGTCCTGCAGAACACAGGACAAAGTTAAATTATGGAATCTGCTACATGGGATGTAGTGATGGCCATCAACCCAGGACAGTTTGAAAAGGGGGAAAAGACAAATTCATGGAGGATTCATGGATAACACTATCCGTATTAAGTTCAGTATCCAAGAGAGTGTGCATCTTTCTACCAGGTGCTGGGGAACATGGTGGGAGGGTGCTGTTTCACTAGTGCCCTCTGGGTGGATTTTGCATGGGTATTCGGTTGCCCGGTCTGTGATGAGAATGCTGGGCTAGATGAACTTTGGTCTTGTGGTGGGGTGAGAGAGAGAGAGAGAGAGAGAGAGAGAGAGAGAGAGAGAGAGAGCGCGAGCGCGCGCGCGCGCGCGAGCAGAATGCTCCAGGAGTGCACCAGCCAGGTGTGAGCCCCCTGGACCTCAGCATGGTGACCCCAGCCAGAGAAGACAGTTCACCACCTGCAACCTTTTATCATGAACCCCATGAAGTAGGTCAGCATGAACCATTGGGTAGATCTGGCCATGAGGTGAGATTTGAACCAGGGACAACTTAACTTTGCAGCATTGTTTCCGGACAGTCTCTTGCAGTGGGTTCTGGTTGACATTTCTCACCTGCATGGTCACGCCTGTGTCACAGGTAAGCACAGGTGGGCATCTGTTGAGGTGCCCTACGCCAGCAGGGGCTTGGCAACAAGATCCCCCCCCCCCCACCAGAGTTGCTCTTCCTTTTCCCCAGTGCAAACCTCCTTGTGCACCCACCCTTTTCTGGCCCTGACGATGCTGGAGGGGGAGGAAGAGATGCCATGGCGCCCCCCCCCCCTTCCTGTCCCCGTTGAGCAAGCAAGTGGATGGGAAAGAGGAGGGGGAGGAGAAGCAGCTGGTGGCCGCAATGGGGGGAAGTCACAGACAGAGGGGACCCATGGGGGGGCACCCTGCTTGAGGAATGCCCCTCAGAAACCTGGAATACGCATTTCCCATGTTCTCTAGCCCTCCTCCTCTACACGATGGAAGTCATGCGTGCTCCAGCGGTGTGACCAGGCCTCCTGCTTGCCACACGGCCCACCATGGTGCTGGCACAGCTGTCAAAAGGGACGTGGACGAGAAGACCAAGGGAGGCTGCGCAGACTCTGGCTTGGATTCTGTAGCTGGGCAGTCACGGTGCTCCTTCAGGGACAGCCAAAGTGTGTCTAGACAGAAAGACGCCCACAGCTCCTAGCATGGCCCAACAGGGCTGGTGACCAGCAACGGGGGACCTCGTAGGCCGGTCTGTCTCAACGTGCAAAGATGTGCACCCTTATTCTATTCCTTACCCCCCGCTTTCTCTAAAAGTATAAACTCAAACCGGATGATCAACCCCGAGTTTCACTAATGGCTATCGCGTGTACGCAAACTACCTCGAAGTGTTAAGAAATGCTGTTTAATTTCTTACTTCGGTATCTTCATCAAGTCCCACAGCGGCCTGCTGCCTGTTGGGCTATTTAATAATTTGGATACGATAGCATTGCTTTTCAGCACATATCACATTTATTAATAGCCAAAAATAAAAATAAAAAGTATTAGCTAAGCGTGAGAACAGTTTTACAGGATAAGTGTGTCAAAATAGTCTTAAAAATCATGAAGAATAAATTAATAATTTAAGGGATTAGCATCCACAGTGACTAGAAAAATTAATAACCCAGCGCAAATAATGATACCACAAGACAAAAACATATGTTCATGTTTTTAAAAGAGTATTTTTGTCCTCCTAAAAAAAGTTTTTTCTATGAAATAAAAATACCCCACCCCATCTCTAACAGCCATTCATTTCAGAACATTCACAGGAAAGTAACAAAACTACATAGTTTCTTGGATGAAACACCTTTAAGACTCCTGATCAAAAATCCATCTTGACACCTAATGCAAACACGTATGCTAATGTTATAACAACGAAGATGCTTCCATTATGTGGAACCTTGGTATTTTGAACCCTGGTTTCCGAACCACTGGGCTTAATGCAGATCCACGCAGCCACATCGATAAACCCATGTTAGAAATAGTCCCGCTCATTTTTCTGAGCATCAAGTTCAAGGACAGCTTTAGCTCAGTCTCCCCCACCCTGGCACCCTCGGAGGCCTTCGACTCCTATCAGCCCCAGCCAGCATGCCCAATGGTCTGGAATTCTGGGAGTTGGCTGGTATTTCCCAGAATGCTTGAGATGTTGAGTAACTGCTTCAGTCCAGAGAAAGGAGGACATCTTCTGCCCTGCACTGTTTGAACTGAGAAAGCCAAGCTTTGCTCTAGGGGTTCATAGGACTGGTCCCAGTTTGAGTACCCTTGCCAAACTGCCCTCCCTCTGAGGCAAACCGTCTCTACACCTGGAGTCACTAGTAGTGTGTTGCAGTGGTTACCTCTCAAGCTTTAACACGGCTCTCCGGCACCGTGGGGACTTCCCTGGGCATCGTTTGGTGCCTCCTGCTCCCGAAAGCACCAGTGACTCTCCGAGGATGAGGACACTGGGCCGTTCCATCCAGCACGTTCGTTCCCACATGCTGTTCTTGCACTTCAATGGCCGTGCTAGGGACCACCGCGTGCCACTGGGCACAATCCGGAATGACCCGCCACTACACCAAGCGGCCTGGAACGCCACAGCGCCTCGATCTCTAGGTCTCCAGTTTTGACCAGGGTGGGTCGGTGACCTTGTTTCTAGGCCATAGGCAGGATTTTTCCTGTTTCAACACTTGCTGAGGTTTCCCAACCCCACAATGAGTCGAAACAGAGGGTGGATGAGGGAAACTCAGCACGGGGAACATGAGCCTTGTGCTAGATGTTTGCATGGAAAAGCAGTGGATGGACAGGCCCAAAGCCTTGGTTTAAAGTGGATTACTACAAAGGGGCGTTCCAACAAGCAATGCACGAGCTTGCAGGATTTTAAAGCACTCGTGGCCTTCCAGAGCTTTTTGCCTACAACTTTCTTTGCTGTTTGCCTGCCATTCTTTGAAGGTTCTTGGCCATTCCCATTTTAAATCATTTCGAGGGCTTGGACACTGCAGTGCCTGCACTCAAATTCCAACATTTGGAATCCTGAATGTAGGCCGAGAAGCCCTATTCCATGGGGCAAGGAGGCAACTTCTACGATAGCCAACGAACTCAGGTGGTCTGCGTGCAATAAATTAGCATATAAGGAGCAGGACTCAGCTAGGTCCTGCCTACCTGGCTTTCTTTGCAGGAGGATTTCTGAGAACCTGGTAAAATGCTCAGGTGTCACCAGGACTTTGCTTCTTATGCGCACACCACTTTTTTCTAGATCATTGATCATTTTCCAGCTGGGGGAAACATTTAAAAGCTTTTTTGAACACAGCCGCAAAGTTAATTTTGGTTCGTTTCGGTAGCTGTTGCATCTGAAAATGAGTTTATTGCAGGCAAGGGCAGATTGCTGCTCTATTGCAGTGAAGTTTGGGTCACATGGGTCTTATTGCCCCTCCCCCCACACTTTAATTTTTCTAAGAGGTAGCGCTCATTGTGTGTCGAAGTGTCTGAATGGTATAATGACAGAACTTCAGGGAAAGTCTTGCCATGTTGACGCCAGGTATAAATGACCTAATTCACTTCCTCCAAACTTCAATCGTCAGAACACCCATGCGAGGTAGGGAATTGAAAAGTTGCCCTTTGCACAAAATCAAGGGTGGGGTGACACCGGAAAGCCACTGTCTATGGTAGCTGTGCCGTAAAGAGAAGACTCTAAAACAGAGACTTGCCACATGATGTCCGTCCACAGGAAGCCGGGCTCCTCCCAAGCCCAAGCAAAATGTAGAAACCAACAAGAGCTCCACGGAGCAGGAAAAGAGTTGAGTGCTTAGGAATGTGAAGGGAAGAAGAAAGGGGACCTGAGGAGCTGCATTTAGTTATTATAGGAATTCCCCAGCCCACCATCCCAGACATGACCTCCCTCAGAACCCCGAGATGGGCCAGGGTGAGCGTCAGCGACTGGCCCAAAGTCGCCTAAGGAGCTTTGTGGCTGAAGGGGGACCAGATCTCAATCGAGCACCCCAAGCCTTTGGCCCCTTCCAAGCCATAAAGCACAAGGAGAGGCTGCACTGCTGCAGGCAGTTGCCTGAAGTTAAACGCAAGCGTTGCTCTAATGGCGGCTGCCAGGGCCTCTGCCCATATCTGGACCGGAAGCAAACGGCAACTTGTAGGATTGCTGGTGGGGGAAGCAGCAAAGCAGCTGCATCACTAAAATGATCTGAGTCGTCATTCTTCTGTAGCCAAAAAGGACACCTTGTGAGCCCAAGAGGAAGGAACTCCGAGGCTTGCAGGGGGTGAGCGATTAATGGGAGAGGCACCCTAAAACAGCCCAGTGACAACCGAGTAAGCTCTGTGGCTTCTGAAGGCTGCGAAGACTCCTGGGGAAACCTGAGGAAGGCCATAAACCAAGCCTCTTGCAGGTGGCATAAAGGGCCCCAGCAGCTGGGGTGCGGCGTGGTTTCTTCTCGCTTCCATTCTGCACAGGACAGATCCAGGCAAGGTCGAATGCCAAGTGGGTTTCTCATGAGGATGCAAAAGCACTCGTCTCTGTCCTGTTGCTATTGCACGTTAACGTAACAGTTGAAAGGACCCAGGGCGAAATGGTAGTGAGGGTTGCACCCAAGGGAGCACCCATGAACAGAGGCAGTGGATCTGTGGATCTCTAAGGAAGGCTAAGCGCCTTCCTGTCCAGCCACACCCTTCCAGAGCCAGCTTGCTGGTTGCAGCTGGACACGAGATGCTGGATCCAGTGGGTCTCAGTCAGATCCAGCACCATTCGATTCTTAGGAATCGTATTCTACTGAACGCCAAGGTAGCGCTTGGGAGATCTGAGCTCTTCCCGATCGAGCAGGATGCAGACACGCTTTTCAACAAACCACTCGACAAGGAAACGAGTCCTTTTGCAAAAGGTACAGCTGTTTTAACAGTCACAAGGTCAGTGCACAAATCATGACATCGTATTGTCCGTTTCACTATCAGTCCGTGAGAACCTGAACCCAAAACAGTGCAAGAAAGACGCTCAGTGGGAAAAGTGAGTTGAGGCCACAATCCTAAGCACATTTTCCTGGGAAAAGCACCACTGACTGCAACAGGACTTACTTGTAAGTAAACATGGGCGCAGGACATCAGGGTTGCATTGTTCACCACTGGCACACAGTTAGAAGGGCTCATGCTATAAGCCAAGGGGATTTTGCCTTTATCCTCGGCTGCTGTTGTCCGGAGGCAGGAAGATGCAGTGGGGACTCGCTGGCTGCCAGGGACCAGGTGCTAGGTCAGCCCTCTGGCCAACACGTGGGTTGGGGGGAACCTCTTCCAGGACAGGTCTTACATGCAAAGTAACTGCGTTACTCGCCAGAAGCTGGGAACAAGGTGCTCTCTCCACACCACACCAAAGCAATCGGGTGCTTTACTCACGATGCTCTAATACCACTGTGAGGCCACCCCAAAGATCACCCCCAGTTGCACAATCTGGAGGGACCCCTTTGGGCTGTACAGTATCACAGTATCACTTTTTTTTAACCGTCAACACCATGGCTTCTTCCGCAAGATGGGTTGCTTCTTCCCAACTTTGTGGCACTGGGAAATAAACTCTGGCAGAACCTTGTTCCGTCCTCACAGCACACGTTTTTGTGCCTGCGACACTGGGGAGCTTCTATAGCACGGTATTCTGTCTCCAGGTGGCCAGTGGAGAGGCACGTGGGTGCCCATGGGGTGGGCGAGGATCCCTTCAGGAGCAGGCAGAAAGGTCCGCATTCACTCCCTGGCGGTTCTGCTTGGGCCGCAGGTGGCGAGTGGGGCCTTGGTCGGAATCGTAGCCCATGAGCCACCAGCGGCAAGCTACATGGTCCAGGGGTTTGGGCAGCTTTCCATGCAGTTAGTACCTCATGCAGGGCCTCTGGATGTGGCCCCAAGGATGTGGGGAAGGGCTTGCTGTGGCCCAATATCTGATTCAAGCGCGATCCTCCTGTAAGAGACATGGCTCATATATAGGGGAGTGCAAGGGCAGAAAGCTGCTGCTCAGGGGCTGTTCGCTTCCCTCTCCACCTCTGCTCAGCCGCTCCATCTCCCCAGCCTTTAGCACCCTGCTCAGCTTCGTTGGGATCGTCCATCCACCACAGAATTCTGCCCCCAGGGCAGAAAACACGAACCGCAGCTCCCTATTTTTAATTATCAAGCCAGTTTTGATCTAACCGTTCTGGTGGGTTTTGGTCGGCCCACCGGCCAGCCCTGGGCAAGGGGGGAACCTCTTCCAGGGTCCCTGACTTGTAAATAAAATAAAGCCTCATTCGATGACGGTGGATGAAAAGACTACAGTGGCTCTCCCCGACCTGGTGCCCCTCCAGATGCAGTGGCGTGTATGTTGTGCTGGCTGTGGGATGCTGGGAATTTTTGTCCAATGCACTGAAGAGCATCAAAGTGATGACAAGGAGGCGCTATTAGAATTCACTATTTACTACTCTCAAAAAGGCAAGGGGCTTCTTTTTCATGACATTACACTAACCCAAGTGCTGTAGTAGTTCCTTCCCTTCCTTCTAGAGCTTTGTGCTAAGGGGATACGCGAGGAGGCCAACCGGGCTGGGCCACACTACGCACACAATGCCTGTGGTTGTCAGGTGATATCCTGATGGCTTCTGAACAGGTTCTCCCAACCTGGAGCCCTCCGGAGGCTTGGAACGTCAATTCCCATGCTCCCCAGCTTGTGTGGCTAAAGGTCAAGAATGCAGGGAGTTGTGGCCAAATCATCTGCAGGGCATCAGGTGGGAGGAAGTGAGTCTGCATCTCGGTCAAGGGACGAGGCATGACATCCACTCGACGTGTGGGCACCCTGGAGTCCCACACGTGGCTCACACACCGGACCTCACGTGGAGGAACAGCGCTGCCCCAGCAGTGGGTCCACCATCACAACCTGTGATCACCACTTTGGTTTTAAATCTAGTGGGTGAATCAAGATTCATTTGGGAAGCAGTTTTCCTTCATCTTGCAACGATCCAGCTTATGTACCCCGACATGCTCTCACTGCAGCTGAATATTTCCCAATGTTCACCGATTGCCAGACTTTTCCCGTCTTGCGACTTTTAAATGCAAAACATCTCATCTGCACACGCATTTTGAAAATGTGATTCACACTTTGAATTCTTCAGACTTATTGGCACCCATTACTGGCCTGGCAAGCACTCAAAACAGATTACCGGAATGAATGGCACTTTAACCCGACAAGACTCTGCTTATGTTCTCAGCCACGATTCTCATAATTGTCAGACATCAAACTACTAAATACAACTGCACACCAGCTATCCAATACTGTCAAACATCAAAAGTTCAACTCAAACATCATAGGATATCGGACACATATATCAAATATTCTGCGAATATTCAACACTATGAGAGTATTCAGAAAATACCTGAACATTTGACATTAAGACCTGCATGTGAGGATCTTGAAAGTACTTCTTTTGGGGAGGGGGAAACCATTTTTAGCTCAGATAAATATCTCTTTTTCAAGATGCTGATACACACCAATGAGCAATGATAATTTCCTTTCACTCCTGGAAAATGCTTTTAAGTGCTTTAGAGACAAGGATGCCTGCAGTTTACACAGAAGGACAAACAAACTAGGTTTCGGTGAAACTGAACAGTTTGTGCCAATGATTGCCTGTTTTTTTTCTTTTTTTTCTTTTTTTCCTTCTGTGAATGGTCAGGAGATGAAAGAGGGAGGGGAGGGTGAGACTGACGTTTCCAGAAGACTGGAATACTACCCAGTGGGAACTGGTTTGGTGCATATGGCAGAAGCTGGGGGCAGCGGGGATGCATTCAGCCCTGGCTGCAAGCATGCAGGACACCAAGAATCCTGATATTGCTATGTTGAACTTCCTGGGTAATTTGGGCAGCAGCTAAGCCATCACTGCAGGGCCCCCGGCATCTTTAGAACCGCACTGAGTATCATCCGCATCACCCCCGAAGTTACGTCTGCTTCAAGACCAGGCCTTCCCCATCCTTGTCAAACAGTCCCCATGAAAGGAAAGCAGGAGGCTTTGGTGGACGGAGCAATCGGGTGTCAGCCCGGCCGAAATGCTTCCCTTCTGCTTCGATGCACGTCCGCCTGTTACTGCTTCACTGGCTTGGTGGGCTCTGACGACTGCCGGACGTCTGTCCATTCCAGCATGGTGTTCTGCAGGGCCTGGGTCTTCTCCTTGTCGACTTGCACGTAGTCGACCTTCTCATCTGAGGCAACGGACGACGTGGAAGGCTGCCACGGGGAGAAAAACCCCGAAGGGAAGGCTCAGTGGTCTGCCAGCCTTCCACAAGGTGGTGCCCTCCAGACATGTCGCATTAAGACTCCCAGAAGGCCCCAGGCACGGCTGGCTGGGGCATTCTGGGAGTCAAACTTCAACCCATTTGGCGGGAACATGTCGGTGAGGGATGTCACAGGTCCAAACATCTGCAGGGCATCAGGGGGAGGGAAGCTAGTTTCAACCTTGATCAAGGGACAAAGCATATGTCCACCTGACACAAAGACAGCACTGGATCCATGCGATCGCGTGTTCTGGTAGCGCCAGATGTGGCTGGTTGCTTCCAACGGCTCCCTCAAACAGCCTCTGACCCCCAGCTCCAGGTGACTCTGGGTGAGGCGAGGAGGTGGTGAGGAGCCCAGAGGAATCTCGAGTGGGAATTCGACCCGTTCAGCTCTGGTTGAAAGAGGGAATTGTAGGGAGGGAGGACTACTGGCAAGGAACCCCCTTTTCACATTTACAGGGCTTGGGAGACAATGAGCCCCCTAACCCTATGAAAGCTTCCAGGTTCAGCTTGCCTCCTGATTTTAGTGGCCAGATGCCTCTGCTTTCTTGCATTAGATCCCTCCCACCCCATACCATCCTCTAACCCTCGTGTGTGGAACGATTTCCCCCAGCCAAACTGACTTGTACTTCCTTCCAAGTACTTCCACCCACGCAGGTCAGATAACTGGAACCAGCAGTTCAGTAACTGGAACCAGCAGTCCAGATAACTGGAACCAACAGTCCAGAAACCTGTCCACAGAGACATCTGCTCACCTGCAGCAATCCCTTGGGTTTCAAACAAAGATCTTTCCCCAGCCAAGCTGGGGATGCTGGGAACTGAATCTGGGCCCTCCTGCATACAAGACAGGGGCTTAGCTGCCGAATTATGGAAGCAGACCTTCACCCTCCTCCATGCTCACACACGCGGCTTAACAGTCCTTGCAGGTACTGGGGGCTGTGCAAGGTGCTTGATCCCCCCACACCCCCAGAATTGATCCTTGGAGGCAGCTGGTGATCAACCCATCCGGCATCCACGCCTTTCCAAAAAAGCAGCGAGGGTAAAGGCCTGGCTCAAACCGGTGGAAACTCCGGCCCATGTGACTCGTGCACAAGGCTCGGAGAAGAGGCATACCTTTCTGTGTGGACTAGGTGAGTTCGGCTGGAAGTCCAGGGCCAGGTAATCAACGCTGCCTGTGCTCTTTTTCATGGCTGGGCTGTTAGTGCCACTGGGAATGGGAGATGCAGAGACTGGGTTTTGCTGAAAAGCAGATCACAGAAAAGGAATTAGGAAGGTAAAACAACGTGCACGAACAATGTGGCCAAATCTAGATCCTTTGGATGATCAGGGAGGGGGACCTCACCTGCCACCCCCCCTCAGAACTCTCCATCTGTTCCACTGCAGAAGCAAAATGGCAGCCTCCTGGTCCAGGAATGGAATGCGGTGATAACAAGGCTTTCAAGTTACACTACTGCTTGTGGCAGATAAGCCTCAAGCAGGGGTGCCCGCCAGATGTTTTCACCCACAACTTCTATCAGCTAGTAAGGCAGTGATGCGAGTTGTAGTCCAAGAAATCGAAGGGGCTAGGTTGCCCACCCCAGCACAGCAGAAGTCAGGGAGTGTCGAAAATAACAGAGTGGAAGCTGGGTACACTGCTCCTTTAACTCAATACGCTTCCTAATTAGCACTAGACATTTAAATGGCAATGTTTCTTTGCAAGATTGTTTGCATTTCTAATAAAAAGCTCCAAGTTCCTTTCTCGTTGGCTGAAGATCCTTTGCTGCAAGCTCACTGTGTTTTGGAAGTCAGAAGGGAAAAACCTCCAGATGCTAGAAATGAGTTTTATTCCAGCCCTGACGCATCTGGAAAAAATTCCCCCCTTGGGGGCCCATTTTTAGCAACAATTCTGAAATGCTCCAAGGCAGCCCTGTTGTGGCGATCACTATTGCTAGGAAACCGGCCAGGGAGAAAAGGGAAACTCGCTTTCTCCCCTTTTTTGTCTTCGTCTAAAGCTGATGTTCGGTGGTGAAACTCATCACACACATGCAAACCTTGTAAGTATGGATTTTAAAAGCCACACTGTGAATGGCCTTTGGAGACCACCTGGGTACTCTGAACAGGTGCATTCTGGGCAACGGAAGTGGTTCCTTGTGGCCTACCAGGTAAGGGAGGATGACTCTTAGGGATGCCCCTTTCTTAGCAGGGTTCCTGCTGAGAGTCTCCCTCCCTCCCCAGAATTCCCTGCTCCATCAGCGGCAGCCCTCACAGAAGCTGGGAGGAAATGAATTTTCTCCGCAATAACAGATACTGGTGAGCCACCTGGGAGTTAAGACACAATATTTTGGGGCAGCCTGGCCTGGCACTGCAACCTGGAACTCTCATGAGAGGTATGCGCACTGCCTACAACTCCCATCATCCCTCACTCTTGGCCACACTGGCTGGGGCTGTAGGCCAAAACATCTGGAGGGCCACTAGTTGCAGTGTGAGGAAGAGGAAGAGGAAGGGGGCAGATTCTTCGGGGCTTACCATGGCCACGTAGTTTTCTTCACTGTCCCCTGAGTCAGTGCTTGTGATGCTCTGCGTAGAGATGGGACGACAGTACTGGGAGAAGTTGGAGTTGAACGTCTGGCTGTAACGAGAGTCGGCAAGACGGGAGATGAGCCCTGGTCTCCAGGTGGCTCCCCTGTCCAGGAGAAGCCAGAGCCTCCAAGCTGAGCGACACAGAGAAGGGCAGGACAAGGACACATGGCCCCGTATGGTCTGGGGATGCCACTGGGCAGCTGTGCTTGCAGCCCGAGGCCAAGAAGGTCCTCCGGACCCAACCACAAAGACGAGTGGCCCAGAGCGGCCTACTGGAAGAGTACAACAGCACAGGGTCACTTGGGGAGGTCCACCTGGGCAGGCTGGGGTGGGGAAGGGATGCTGTCTAGCTGATCAAGAGGTCTGTGAGCTTCACAGACATCATCGAAGGGGACTGGAGACCAGGCCTGCACATCCCCGTGGAGCGAGTGGCTCATCCATCTATCTGTGAACTTACAGAGGTTGTGGGTACCCCCTGTCCAGGGATTAGCAAGAGACCTCGCTCAGTTCTGGTTACAGGGAAGTGGTCATAAACAGCAGACACCCATCTATCGGATTTATGCCCCACCTTTTCCTTTCAAGGGAATCAAGGCAACTTGCCTCATCCTCTTCCTCCTCAGTCTTATCCTCACAACCACAGCGCTGTAAGACAGGTCGGGCTGAGAGCCTGTGCCTGGACCAAAGTGAACTCCATGGCTGCGTCGGGACAAGAACCCAGGCTGCCCGAGTCCCGGTCCCATGTGCTTAACCACCTCACCACGCCGGCCGCACACATGTTCGACAGGCAGGAGATCCAGGCGGCCCCTCGGGACTGCCACCGAAAATAGTCCCAGACAGCAGGGCTGAGAAAGCCCCACGGAAGTGCAGCCAATCAGAGCAGACGATGCTGCGACAGACGGACCGGCAGCCCGACTCAGTGGGAGCCAATTCCGTACTTTCATTTGTAACAGTGGCGATCCAATTCTCATGGACTGCGACACTGCCCCCAGCCTGGTGCTCACCAGGTCTGTGGAACCTGAGCGCCCCTCCAGCCCAGCTGGCACGGCCTCGAGTCCGAAATGGAGGGAGCTGTAGCACAAAGTATTGTGCTGGGAAAGTCAGGCCTGCAGAACCAGGCAATCTGGTGACCATACCCTTTGGTGGCCTGCTAAGGGACATCCCCAGATATCTAGCATCAAGAAGGCCCTGTTCTTGTGGGGCTGGAAAACCCACAGTATAGTCTTCATATGGTTAAGAAAATCTCCCTTGAACCCCATCAGGACCTTGGCCCCTGAGCTCAATCTGGAAGACTCTTCCAGAACGTTTGAGGTTCTCCTAAGATGGTACAGATTCTCATATGTGCCACGAAGCTGCCTCCAACTTATGGGGACCTTGTGACTAGAAGCCCCCCAAAACGTCTTGTCCATGACAGCCCTGCTCAGCTCTTCCAAGTTCAGGGCTGTGGCTTCCTTGATGGAGTCCATCCATCCCTCATTTCCTCTTCCTTCTCTTCTGCCTTTGACGTTCCCTAACACGACTGTCTTCTCCAACGAGTCCAGATTTCTCCTGATGTGTCCAAGCAGGACAGCTTCAGTTTTGTCCTTTTTGCTTCCAGGGCTAGTTCTGGCTTCCTTTGATCTAGAATCCCCTCACTCGTCTTTCTGTTAGCCTGGCTCTTTGCAGAGCTGTTCTCCAACACCATGTTTCAGATACCCAGCCATAAAAACGTCAATTTACAGCTGTTGGCCAAAATAGGTCCATGTTTTACCTACTGATTTGTGCATCAATGTTCTTGTTTTGAGGCCCGCTCTACGCAAAATGCTGGGAGGAGTCTGGAGGACCAAACCAAAGCACCCAACCTCGCACTCACCCAGGCCTGGACCACGATTTCGTGATGGGTGACTTGAAGGGTAGCTCGTCAATGACGGTATTGCTCCTCAAGTCCAGCGGCGTCGGTTTTGCTGGGGGAGAAAGGCCACACGTCAAGGCTGGGCAACCGTTTAGCAGACTCTTGGGAGGACTGGCCAACGGCACCCTGCTCCCCGGGAACCCCAGGAGGGAAGGCGGCTGGGAAGGGGAAGCTGACCTTTGCGGTCCGGTTTGAGGTTGCGGTTGACGGGTGGGGGCTGGATGTCGCTCATCCGCCGGTGCAGCTGCGAACTGCTGCTGCCCTTATGCACGGGGAAAGTCGAAGACGACAGCGGCATCACGTCCACGTGCTGCGGTCCGGGGCTCATCGGGATGTAGAGCTGCTGCGAGTTGTCGTTTGACTTCTCCGTGCTGAACAGGATCGAGGAGCCCGGGTTCATGGGGACGTAGTTGTCCTCCGAGTCGGCACTGTGAGAGCGCGCCACTGTAGCTTTGTTTTGCTGGAAAGCAGGTAAAAGCAACGTGTAAACGGTAGTGGGGGCAGGAAGATTGCAGGGAATGGGAGTTACGTTTCAGGCCAAGCGGGGTATCTAGAATTGTTCCAGGACAACCACAAATTTAAGTTTAGGAACACAGGGACAAGTTTCTAGTCCTTAGGACTCCACAAGTGTGGGGAGAGCTCTTCTTGCTGATGCCAAAGTATAGGACACAGAATGATCAATTCAGTTGTGACCACCCAGATTCAGGCTGGACATCAGGAAAAGCTTCCTCACTGTCAGAGCAATGGGGCAGTGGAACCAGCTGCCTGGAGAGGTGGGGGGCTCTCCCATACTAGAGGCATTCAAGAAGCAACTGGACAGCCATCTGAGTGGGATGATGTGATTTGGTGTCCTGCACCAGCAGAGGGTGGACCGGATGGCCTTCATGACCCCTTTCAACTCTACTGTTCCATGATTTTGTAGAATCATTTGCACACACAAATGTGCGTTCAGAGAGAAAGCTGAGAATTCCCACACAGTCAAGAGGAAAGCTTTCAACAATATGATGCATTTGTTTGTCTCCCCAAAACCTATTGCTGGTTTCTTTTATGTACAGAGAGACAAGTGTAATTGTGCATCAGGACTGACATGGGTACTCCATCACCCCAAATTTTAGTTATTCTTTTGATTTACATCCCACCTTTCCACCAAGGAAACACCATCCAGGGCAGCTAACAATCATACGATCTAATTAAATAAATAATGAAAAAACAAATATAGCTAAACACAGCAAAATAAATAAGCAGCCCCCGTGAGAAAGGGTTACATGCAAAAGACCAGCTTGGGTAGATATGTCTTTGCCTTCCAGTGGAAGAGCAGCAGAGAGGGAGCCAGCCCAGCGTTCCTCGACAGGCTGTTCCAGAGGCTGGGGGCTGCCACCAAGAAGGCCCCGCTGTACTGTCCCTGCCAAATGCAGCACTGAAGGCAGCAGAACTGAGAGATGAGCCTGCCCTGAAGATTTTAAAATCTGGGCAGGCCTGTCTGGAAGAAAAGTGTCGTCTCAGGCGGCTCGTCCCAAGCTGTGTGAGCCTGACCCCGGCCTTCCGGGGCAGCGGCAGTTCCCCAGCATCCTCAAAAGCTGTCCCACGGTCTCTCTGGCCCTGTGCAGTCGGCACAGGACACCTTTCCACCATGGTTACGGACCCGCTCCCCCAGGTGCAACAGCCTCCGGCCAGATGGGCATGGAGTTGCATGGATCTAGGCCCCCAAACTCACCAGGTAGGAACTGAACCCAGCATTCACGGACTCCGCAGACTGAACGCCGGCACAGCCGCTGGGCTGGGGATACTCATAGGTCTCACAGGAAGAAGCTAAAACCAGCGACATTGAAACAGAGGTTAACGAGCCGTAAACAGGCGCATCACGCTAACATGTAGAGGGGCTTTTAGACAGAGGATGGACACAGGTCAAGGACCCCGGAGCATGGATGATATAAAGCAAGCCTTCTGCAAGCTGGTGCCCACCAGGATGGGAGACACAGCCCAGTGGGTTGGATTACAGTTCCCATCCTCCCCAGCTGGATGAGGCGTGTGGGTTGTGTAGTCCAGTCTGCCTGGGAGGTCATTGGGTTGTGGAGGCTGCTGTAAGCATTGGAGGGACTCTCATCAGGGCTCAGTATTCCCTATATGGCAAACATGGGCAGAACAGAAGGAAGGGGAGAGTAATTCCATAGCCAAATGTCTCCTGCATTATCTGTATCCTGCAACAATCCTGCATTATCCTTTCCCTGTGATGATCCTGAGTCAGAGAAGCAAGTGTGACTGAGAGCCGAACCTTTGCAAGCATGCAAAATTGGCCAACTTTTTGAATTTTGAAATTCATATTTTGAACAAGACACTTCAACCTCAAAATCTGAATGCCAGCGCCCTGTTGGTATTTTCTGATTCGGGTTGTTGTTACATCTGACAAGCATCCGATATGGAAACGCACAAGCTGTCACCAACTGCACCGTCAACAGCGTTCCACGTTGTGCGTCAAATACTGAATGACAGCGCTTGTCAGCTGCCCACTACCATCAGATGCTGAACGGTGTGCATTTAATGACAATCCGCTTTGCACGATCATCAGGAAGACAAATTCCTTGTAAAATTTGGCTAAGACAACAACGCATACTGTGAGTTGTCATTATGTGCAAACCAAGTCGCGATCTTCTGTTAGATGTTGAAATCAGAGATCAAACTTGAAAATTGAATATCGGAGATCTAACATCAAATACCCATTCAAATATCAGATGTCAAATATTACATCTTTCATTGGCAAATAGTCTTTATTTGCGATGGTTTACTGTACTCAGTTGGCCGGAGAACAGACATTTGTTCTGGTCCCCACACAATAAAGATTTGGCAAAATGGACATGCCGCTCCCCTCTAATACATAGAAACAGAGCGAATCAGAAGGGGCCTCCCGGGCCAACTAGTCTGACCTCCAGCACCAGCCGGCTCCGCTCACGACATGCCCACCATAATACGCAAGTCTTATTGCCAAGCAATAAGCAAGTCTTATTGCCAAGCAATTCCAAGCCCACGAGTCAGGCTCATTCTGTGTTTGGGTGCACTTGGTCCATAAAAGGAGACGACTGAGAGGGGCAGCTTGTATCCCAAATGCATCCGGGGCCCTGAGGCCAGTATCTCAAGAACGGTGTAGGAAGATATGCAAACTGCATCTCCCACTCATCAGTTTCATGGGTCCCCGTGTTAATGGGAGAAGATCCAAACCTCTCCCACTCCACTTTCCGCACACCGCACCTCCGTCAGGTCTCCCCTTCCTCGCCTTTTGTCTGAGCCAAACAGCCCCGTTGCTGTAGCCGCTCCACCCAGAGAAGCTCTTCCAGCCCCCTTTCCTCGCCCTTCTCTGCCCTATTTCCAACCCAGCCCCTTCCCTTTTCAGGTGTGACGACCAGAAGGGGACTCAGTATTTTAAGGCCCGTTTCCCCGGAGCTCCACTCAGAAGGAAGAAGGCATCTGGAGAACGGAAGTGGTGGACGGCCCTGACGTGCCTGCTAGGCCAGAAGTCCTCTGCCACGCCTGGGGCTCCCGGCCCGCCACACCACTGGTGGGCACCCAACGCCCCCTCCCCGCCTTCACAGCCCGCACTCACCTCGGTGCAGCCGGCAGTTCTCCACAGCGGGCAGAGTGTTTCTCCTGGGAATCGTGGCAGCGACGGGGCCCATGCCGAGGCCGCCTTCCCCGTCCAGGAGGCGCTGTTGCGGGCTACCCCAGCGTGGCTCGGACTGGCCCGGCTTGGGCGGCCGAGGAGGCGGGGTAGCAGGTGTCTCGCTGGAGACTACGGCCAGGGCGTTGTGGTTCTTGTCCAGCGTGAACGTTCTGGGAATCTGGTAGAACGACAAAGGGGTCCCGGGGACATCGTAGGTATCTGTGGAGAGCTCCCCGAAGTCCTTGCACAGGGTGCTGCTCGGCGTCTTGAAGGAGTAGACCTCCTCGCTGTCCGTCTCGGAGCCCGTGAGACTCGACTTGGTGTGGGCGTAGCATCCAAAGCTCCTCGGGAGGTCGTAGGCGCTGTCCCTGAGCTCCGAGTTGTGCCGGCTGGGCTTGGGCAAGCTGTAAAAGCCGTGGACTTGCCCGCCCATCCCGTTCGCACAGTGCCCATTGCCCTGAGGGAGCTTCTGGACCGACGGGTCGCTTCTCATGAAGAACGAGGTCCTCGTGGCTTGGGAGAAACTGGCGCTCCTGAAGCGGAAAAGGCAGCAGGGCAGAGGTGAGGCAAATGTCCTCCCCCCAATCCACTGAGCGGAGAATAGGTATGTGGGCATTTCTAGCCCCACACACTTGTGCGTCCAGGGAACCTGAAAATGGCTTTTGGTAAGGTAGCTACTCAGCCCTGGGATTCCTTCCCAGCCCCTACATGACTGGGAGAGGTCACCCGTGGTTTGAGCTGAGGCCTCATCAGTACCCTGGTCTCATCTGCAGCTGATCCGGGTGAGGCACCGATATTTCTGAACCGGTACCTGATGGACTGGATGAGGGCTAGCAAACAGCAGCTTAATCCAGGTGAGACAGAGGTGCTCTTGGCCGGGGGAGCCTCAGCTCAGGGGGACACTATCCACCCCGTCCTGGATGGGGTTGCACGGCCACGAAAGGACAGGGTGCGGAGCCCAGGGATGCTCCAGGATCTGGAATTGTCCTGGAGTTCCAGGTGACATCCAGGGCCAAGAGCACATTCCCCCAGGTTTGGTTGATTTACCAACTGCATCCTTATCTGGACAGGCAGAACCTAGCAATGATCAACCATGTGCTGGTAACCTCATGTTAAGGCTACTTTAGCACGCTCTACATGGGGCTGCCCTTGAAAATGATCCAGAGGCTTCAAGTGGTACAGAAGAGGGCCGCTCATCTGTGGATGCGAATGAGCACGACAGCTCAGTCCTGTATCAGCTGCACTGGTTACCGACCGAAGTCTGGGCCTGCTTTAAGGTGTTAACATATAAAGCCCTAAACAGCTTATGGTCTGTGCATCTAAAGGAACATCTACTCCCGTGTACACCTACCCAGACACCGAGTTTGTTTTCAGGGGTTCTTCTCGGTGAGCCACCCCGCAGGAAGTAAAGAGGGTGGCTATGAGGGGAAGGGCCGTGGCCCCCCATCTGTTAAATCAGCTCCCCAGGGAGACAGAACTGGCACCAAGGTTACGTGTGTTTCAGCACCAGGTTAACAACTTTTAATTTTCTCACCATTTTAACTATTGAATAGAAAACTAAGATCACGGCTTCGGGTCCTCTCACTTCCTAGCAAATAGATGGGGAAGGAATGGAGGTAGTGACAGATTTTATTTTCCTGGGCTCCAAGATCACCGCAGACAGGAACTGCAGCCAAGAAATTAAAAGATGCTTGCTCCTGGGGAGGATGGCTATGGCCAATCTAGACAGCATACTAAAAAGCAGAGACATCACCCTGCCAACAAAAGTGCGTATAGTCCAGGCTATGGTTTTCCCAGTTGAAATGTATGGCTGTGAAAGCTGGACCAGAAGGAAGGCTGAGCGCCAAAGGATTGAGGCCTTTGAATTGTGGTGCTGGAGGAGACTCCTGCGAGTCCCTTGGACTGCAAGGCAATCAAACCGGTCAGTCCTAGAGGAGATCAGCCCTGACTGCTCTTTAGAAGGCCAGATCCTGAAGATGAAGCTCAAATACTTTGGCCACCTCATGAGAAGGAAGAACTCCCTGGAGAAGAGCCTAATGATGGGAACAATAGATGGCAAAAGAAGAAGGGGACGGCAGAGGATGAGGTGGCTGGATGGGGTCACGGAAGCAGTTGGTGTGAGCTTGGGTGGAATCCGGGGGATGGTGGAGGACAGGACGGCCTGGAGGAATGTTGTCCATGGGGTTGTGATGGGTTGGACATGACTTCGCAACTAACAACAAGATTACCTGGTTTTATACTGGCTTTTAAAATTGTCCATATGGAATAGTTGTTTAATTTATTGTTAATTATTACTACATATTGTTTTGTTTATAGTTTGGTTTTATATATGCCTGTTGAATTTTATTGCGGTTTGGATGTTTTATGACAGGTGTGCTTGTTTTCTATCTGTTTTTCATCAAAAGTGATACCGTGTAGTCTTAATAGGATTTTGGACATGCTTTTGAGAATGTTGTGCTATCTGAATTGTACAGAAATGCCTAAATAAATAAACAAACTAACAGCACACATCCGAATAGGCAAAGTGGCACACTCTCGATCCAGCTGCTTCTCCGGGTGGTTTGTGTTATATATAACCTTTCCCTTAATTTAATCTGAAGTAAATTATATTTTTAATTATTAATGAAAGACAGATGTGGGAGTGAAACTCTTAAACTCAGGAAATCCTCTGGTTCATGAGAACCCAGCTGTGACTCTGGTGCGATGTCACCTCCCTGTGTTCCTTGCTCTTGGTTCCTTCCTGGCTGTCCCCCACAGTCCTCTGGGCCACTTCCCAGCTGGAAGATCTACGGTGAGAACCTTGCCTTCCACTTTCCAGACCAAATTACCATGTTATGCATGCTAGGATTCGATGGAGAGGCAAAACCAACATGTTTGGGAAGCGTTCCCAAAGAAGCTCAGGTCCAATTTTCTTGGATCAAACAGACATGCTCTTCCTCTAAGGAAAATGGAAATCAGTATAATCATACTAAATCTGAATTGTGATCGGAATATGTCCCTCCTACCAGGATCCATTATTAAAGTTATGGCAATAGAGTACATGAGAGGAAATAGTTTAATGAAATGTTGTTTTTCTAGGCATCAGAGTATGTCTGCTTTTCTATTTTTTAATTTAAAATATATAAGAAGACATGGTATCTTCATATTAATATAATGGTTTGCAGAGGTGTCTGATGGGTCTTAGAGCAAACAAACATCTGAAGAATTCAGCTGGGGTAAAAGCAAAACTGGAGAACATCCAAGACGATCCAGTGCAATAAACTGCCTCCTTTCAGCTTTCCATACTGCTTTCTTCAGGGTTAGTTTTTATATACTGGGCCTGCAGAGATTTCTGGAAAAGATCATCTCCACAATGAATCCAGTCTTTTTCAATGAACTCTTAGGCCTTTATATCTAAAAGCGGAGCCCCAGGAAAGGCTCATACTCAGGATCAAACCACATAGGGCCACTTCTTGGAATAAGATCATATAAATATATTCAACAGCCCGAGACTTCATTTCTAAGCATTCTGCTGGACCCGATAAAAAGGTCTATTTCAACTCCCTCTCACAGCAAGCACAGATGGTGAGTGCCGAATGAAAGAAAGAGAGAAAATGCAGCTGCTCAACTTGCCACAAAGAGACCAGAAAGTTGGCGGGCAGGTCATGCTCTCAGCCCTGCTGAGACACCAGCTCCTTTTGGCTCCCCCTCCGCTTGAGTTGTTTCCATCTCAGTGGGGCTCCTAAGAACATCCAATCTTTAAGAACAGGTGCCTGAATCTGCTTTCCTCCCATCCCCATTCTCCATCCTGATCTTTCTTCTGCAATGAGCCGTGTAGCTACAACGGCACATGGAGGTGGAAAAAGGGACATTTCAGCCGTTGCTTGCAGGGTCACCTCACTTTGCCGCCTCTGCACCATCAAGCCTGTGCCTGCCCCTTCTTCCCCGTTCTGCTGCCGCCGACTAATCTGTATTCTGTGGAGCAGCTGGCAAAGCCCCGACAGGTTCTCTGGAGGTATGGCTTCTTCCTGGTTTGGAGGAATGGGTTCCTCCTCAGAGCAAGCCACTGAGCGAGAGGAGCGGAGTGGCAAATTCAGTATCTGCTATGATTCCAGCAAAGCACAGCACAGATCCCTGCCCACAATACCTTGCTCTGAGCATGACCCCTACGCGGGGAGTGGCAACCTGGGAGCAGATGGGCCCAGAAAGCCACACACTGCTTTTGAGACCATGGTGAAAGTGTTTAGGTGATCTGCTGGGAGGGGGACACAGAGAAGAGGCGGCTGGTGCCGGTGGCCTGCCATCGGTCGTGCGTGCCTTGAGCTGGTGCGCCAGACACGGAGCTGCACCAAGTTCCAGTTGGCGGAGACCTCAGGGAATTTAAGGGGTTGCCTTAACTAAGCTTCAAAGCTATGGTTTCCCCAGGTGCAATGTATGGCTGTGAAAGTTGGACCAGAAGGAAGGCTGAGCGCCGAAGGATTGAGGCCTTTGAACTGTGGTGCTGGCGGAGACTCCTGCAAGTCCCTTGGACCGCAAGGCGATCAAACCAGTCAGTCCTAGAGGAGATCAACCCTGACTGCTTTTTAGAAGGCCAGATGCTGAAGATGAAACCCAAATACTGTGGCCACCCAATGAGAAGGAAGGACTCCCTGGAGAAGAGCCTAACGCTGGGAACAATAGATGGCAAAAGAAGGAGGGGACGGCAAGGAATGAGGTGGCTAGATGGGGTCACGGAAGCAGTTGGCGTGAGCTTGAGTGGACTCCGGGGGATGGTGGAGGACAGGAAGGCCTGGAAAAATGTTGTCCATGGGGTTGTGATGGGTCGGGCACGACTTTGTGACTAAACAAAACAAACTTAACTGCACTAGCTGTCTTCACCAATAGGTGGTGCCATGTATGAAATGATCCCAGGATAGCTTGTGGTTACCCAAAGACTGTTCCGTTGTTTTGGTGGAACAGCTGGAAAATAAAGGAATTGGGAAATGGCAACGGCTGCCTCTCACTGTCTGAGCTCCAGTAGCCCAGGAAGGGTCTGTCTGGGCCTAGCAAAAGTGGCGGCAGAGGATGCTGTTGATGGAGGGGTCCAAAGGGGTCACCCCAGGAAGACGGGTGGGAGATCCAAGCCAGGTCAAAGGAAGGGCTTCACAGAGGTGTCGGCTTTGGGAATTCATTTTCGCAAGGCATGGTGCCGGCCACCAGTTTGGGTGAGTTTAAAAGGGGACTGGACAAATTCATGGAGGAGAAAGCTTCTAGTCCTCATGGCCACAATGCTGCCTCCAGTGTCAGAGGCAGTGTACCTGTTTACATCAGCTGCAAAAATACAGAGGAAGCTTCTGAGCTCTTGTCCTGCTCATGCGTTTCCCACAGCCAGCCGTGTGAACTGATGCTGGATCCGACAGGCCCTGACTCTGAGCCAACACAGCTGTTATGTGCCACGAAACAGAAATATTCGTGTTTTCTGTGCCTCTCTGTGCTGAGTGTGTCCACACTGTAGATACGCAACTACTGTTGAAATCTTTAGGAGAAGTTAGATAAGTTTGACATCAGCAAACCAGGCTTGCTGGTCATTCCCCAAGGGGAATCCTGGGAAACTCGGATTTTGTGCGAGGGACTTTTATCAGAGCTCCGAGCATCTTCCCCAGACTAGTTTCCAGTTGCGGGCCGTGGGTGTGAGCATGGGAATAGGAGGTAAATTATGGCTACATCATTATACGTAAAAGAGAGACAAGGATGCACCCGAGATGGGGCACTTTCATTTCCTTCCTGATGCTTTTCGGGCAGCTAGTAAATATTTAATCGCTTTAGATTTGTAGGATGAATTTTTATCTCTCTGATAGGCACAGTATGCATTTTAAACAGGACAAAGTATGGGTTGTTTTCAGCCTGTTTTGAACCTCTTCTGTGTAAGTCCCCCCGAGAACATTATATTATTGAGTGGCATATAAACGAAATAAACAACTTAAGTAAATAAATAAATTTATAAAAATAAAGAGTTCTCAAGATTGCCAGGCTTTTAGGAAATGTAAAGATTCCCCTTTGCTCCCTGCTGAAAAATCGATTTAATTTGTTCCTTTTCCCTCCCCGTTCGTTTCCTTTTGTGTCATACCTATTTTAGATTGCAAGCCCAAAGCCAGGGATTGTCTTGTTTACTGACTGCAAGTTGCTCCAGCTTCTTTTCACTCAGCAGCAGCACAAAATACTATAAATAAAGCACCCATACTACATAAAAAACCAATACCTGGTGTTCTCTGATTTTCTGCTCATGCACTGGTGCAGAAAGAGATAGTCCTGTGGAGCACTGGCAGAAAGGGTGGTCCGGATATGATTAGTGGGTGAATCAAAGGTGAAGAGGGTGGGCTGGCTGGAGTGCGACGGCGCCGACGACTTTCGTTCTCGCAGGAGCCTCTGGCTGGAGCCGCTGAGCTCGGCGGGGGACGAGTGCGGTCCGTGACTTACGGCAGGAATATTTCTTAAAGAATCTGCAAGGGGCACAAGAAGAGTTGACAGGATCGTGGTGTTCTTACGTCTATTACGATCGACCTTGCTTATAATTATAATCACGTGCTTATAAAGTTCTGATGAGCCATGCGACACTTTTAGGATGCTATTTTCCAAAGATCCAGTATAAATGACACAAAATACGTATTCCAAGTGCGTACACACATATTCCAATTACATAAGAAGCTCTTTTTATCTTGCAGAGGCTAATGAGAGGTCTTTGGGAAGCAAGAAGGGCCTGAAGGCAAGAGACTGCCCTGTCATTCCCCCCCCCCCCATCGCCCTCATTCAGTGGTTTTCTCTGCAGCTGCTCTTTTCATTTCCCAGAATGCCCTCTATGTGGCCCCCAAGAGCACCTGAAGGATCATTGCCACAGGAGAGAAATGCAAGCAGTTAATTTGTGAAAGGGGGCAACAGGTTTCACCCACAACCCCCCCCATTAACGACGACAACAACAGAAATTTTGTCCTCCGTGAGTTTTTTTTCCATCTGCCATCAAGAAGTGGAATGACGTGTGACTCTCCAAATATTCTGGCTTACACTGCCCATCAACCCTAGCCAGAGTGGCATTGTGAGGGCTCATGGAGTTGTAGGTCTGGACGTCTGGAGGGTCACAACTTACCTGCCCCTGGTGTAGGCAGGAAGGGTGGCTAAAATGTTCCCATCTTTGGCCAGAAGGCAGCAGTTCGGTTGGCACTGCCCACCCTGGCTAGTGGAGAAGGAATCGGGGGGAGCAGCGAGAGCAGGTGCCCTAAGAAAGTGCACAGATGCTGTTGGGAAAATTCAGATAAATCCTGGGAGGAAACGGTTGCTTATACGTGCCTTTGTGTCATAAATCAAACCTAAGCCCCTTTCTCAGAAAGCAGCAGAATTCCAAGCCAGGTTAGCGTTGCTGTTCCTTTAAGAAGATGGCATTCTTAGCTGGACTGAGAAGCTGCTGGAGGCTAACACTATCAGTGGGGAAATACTTGTGTTCCCATCAGCTGCAGAGAGCAGAAACAAAGGTGTCCATTTGTTTCTGCATGGATCCATTTAATCATCTAGTTCCACAGAGGCAAGCCCCTGCAGAGCGTAGTTGTCAAACCAGTTTTCCTGAATGGTTCCTCCATCAGACACATTTGCATGTTTAAGCAGACACAGGTTGATCCAAACTGCAAAGAAATCTACTTAATGTCATGTCAATAAATCAATCAGTAATATTTTCCATACTCTTGTTACCAGTATTTCTCGGTTTAGAACATTATGCCATGCCTAAAGACACCAAGATGCTATTGTACCAACATTATCTGGAAGCTTAACACTCTGTATCGGAGTATGTGACTAGCAGGTTATAAAAGTGTCTGTACATGAGCTGTGATTTTGCAGTAGAGTTGTTGTTGTTGTTGTTGTTGTTGTTGTTGTTATTATTATTAGTGCACTGTCATTAGTGGCTGCAGGAACTGGGCACCCATCAATACAGCCAAGAAGTTCAACCGTTTTGCTCTTCCCCATGAATCTGAGTGTTCCTTTCTCGCAAACTGAAATCTGAGATTCTGTCAGGGCCAATCTTCTGGCTGCAACTTTCGGTGTCTCCGAGGCAGGCAGGAGAAAGGAGGACAGTCACAGGAGTGGAATTTGCTTTCATTGCCACCTGGAATGGAGGGGAAGCAACTCCTCAAAACCTGAGGCTGGCCCTGCACATGGCAAACCTGGAAGGGTTTCCTCAGCAGGCCAGTTGGCATGGAAGGGCTTCCTGGAAGACAGAAAGCACAGAAACGGAGGATGTACAGATCACAGGCAAAAGCCCTTCCCATGTTGTTCAGCCACTGCGTTTGCAAGGGCGCCTTTTTTGGAGGTGTTTTCAAACTGAAGACCAAGCGAATGCGTCTTGCAAATTCAAGGCCCTCACTAACAGCATTTAAAAGCAGAGCAGCTGAGAAAGTGGCCCTGGGTGAATCCCTTTTGCACCAACCCCTGGAAGGACCATCTGAACATTTGCTGTGGCCTGAATGGGTACCCGAGAGGGACAAGAACCCCATAAGGCTCCGGGGCAATTGAGACCCCCAGAACTGCCAAGAAGGCCCCCAACCACTCCTAAATCAGTGGGGTGCACTGCTGATGCCTCCATAAGAAGCCCCTCTTTCCCTCTTCCAGAAACGGAGATGAGCACCACCCCATGGATTTTATTTTCCTGGGCACCAAGATCACCGCAGACGGGGACTGCAGCCAAGAAATTAAAAGACGCTTGCTCCTGGGGAGGAAAGCTATGGCAAATCTAGACAGCATACTAAAAAGCAGAGACATCACCATGCCAACAAAAGTGTGTATAGTCAAGGCGATGGTTTTTCCAGTTGCAATGTACGGCTGTGAAAGCTGGACCAGAAGGAAGACTGAGCGCCGAAGGATCAAGGCCTTTGGATTGTGGTGCTGGAGGAGACTCCAGCGAGTCCCTTGGACTGCAAGGCGATCTTATAAGTCAGTCCTAGAGGAGATCAACTCTGACTGCTCTTTAGAAGGCCAGGTCCTGAAGATGAAACTCAAATACTTTGGCCACCTAATGAGAAGGAAGGACTCCCTGGAGAAGAGCCTGATGCTGGGATCGATAGATGGCAAAAGAAGGAGGGGATGGCAGAGGATGAGGTGGCTGGATGGAGTCACTGGGGCGGTGGGTGTGGGCTTGAGTGGATTCCGGGGATGGTGGAGGACAGGAAGGCCTGGAGGAATGTTGTCCATGGGGTCGCAATGGGTCAGGCATGACTTTGTGACTAACAGCAACAATGTATGGCTGTGAAAGGTGCACCATAAGGAAGGCTGAGTGCCGAAGAACTGAGGCCTTTGGTGCTGGAGAAGACTCCTGCGAGTCCCTTGGGCTGCAAGGTGATCAAATCAGTCAGTATTAGAGATCAACCCTGACTGCTATTTAGAAGGCCAGATCCTGAAGACGAAACTCAAATACTTTGGCCACCTAATGAGAAAGGAGGACTCCCTGGAGAAGAGCCTAATGCTGGGAACAATAGATGGCAAAAGAAGGAGGGGACGGCAGAGGATGAGGTGGCTGGATGGCATCCCTGGGGTGGCCGGGGTGGGCTTGGGTGGACTTTGAGGGAGTGTGGAGAGCCTGGAGGAATGTTGTCCATTGGGTCATGATGGGTCGGGCATGACTTTGTGACTAACAACAACAAAGCGGAGTACAATCCACAGGACTCCTTACTTTACCTCGCATTCTACTGGACAACCTCTCCAGTGGCCCGTTAGAACTCCTGCAGCGTTTATCCCATGCGGGCCCAAATCTGCAGAGGGTATTCTAAGATGAGGCTGGACAAGAAGGTGAGAATGGGGTTCAGCAGGGAGCCAAGCAGGTTCTTAAAAAACAAAGATGTGAGGAGAGGGAAGAAAGAATGAAAATGACTGTGATTCAGCTGCAGAATTTGGCAGGGAAGCCCCTCCACGGCTGCCTGAAGCATCTCTTGAGGAAAGGATAAAGCAGAAATTAAGCAAATACTCTATGAAAGCATTCATCATTGTAGAAAATTAGATTGTATTCATAAAGTGGGGAAACAGTGCCACATGTCAAATGGGTAGAAAAGGCAACTGGCTGAAAGAGAGATGCATTAAGCAATGTTTGCGTGGAAGAGGCCTTAAATGGGGTAAAGTTCAAGGCAAATCTGCTTGGGATTTGAAGCAAATTCAACTTCAAGCCCAAATTCCATCCTTTCATGGAACGCTGGCTTTGCTCGTGAATCATCCGACGCTTCCATCAAATGCAGCAGAAAGACGGAATCGACAAGATCAATAAAAGGTTTCTGCTTCTGATGAAATGCTGGCCCTTCTCGTTCCACGTACAGCAAGCGATGATGCGGGCTGTTAAGGACGCATCCATGAAACATCTGAGCATGCTCCATCCAAAGCCCCGAAAACGCAGGTTTCCTGTTGAAAATGTCCACATTTGCATTCATCTTGTTCTCAGTTTCAGGTTGAGCTGCGCAAATTTCCCGACTTGTGCAAATGTGCTCAGTAGATGAAATCTACTTTAGTCCTGCTTTCGTCTGAGGAGGGAATGCGACAGCAGTTCAAGCATTATTCTGCCTCTGCGGCCATCTCCAATTTCACAGTGACATGGGTCCCAAGATCTTTGCTGGGAAAGGACTCATATTCTAGCAACTGGGCACACAATTAAAGCAGTCAATGGCTTTCCATCGACCATTCAACTGACTGATAAAATCTGCGTAAATGACAATGAAGTATTCCAGGGCGCTATTAAGACAGAACACTGCTATAATTGTTTCACAGCCAGGCTCAAGGCCTCTTCTGAGTTTGCCAACATTTTTTGTGGAATTTTTTGGGTGAGAAAAAGCAGGTATTCCACCTCAGATTGCAAGAAATGGGATCCAAAAGCTTGAGCTAAGACATTTTGTCTTCTATTCTGCAGTATCACCTTGGGGTTGATGAACAGGATATCCTGAAAGGTGGAGAAATACAAACCTCGGCAAAAATCTCAAAGCAAAGGATCCGTTTTTCCTCTGCAATGCAGATGGACGAAGGCTTCGTATTACGGGTTAAACACTCCATGTAGAGAAGCCCTTAGTTTTTCACCTATTAAGCATGCAATTCTGCACATGTTCAGAAGGAAAAAGGCCTACAACTTCCAGCGTTCCTCAGCTGGCTGGGGAATGCCGAATTCCAAGACTTTCGTCTACCTTAACCTGCACGACATTGTAAGGCTGCAATTCAGCTTTTTTTCAGGGCAGAACCCAGCTTTAAACTGGAATAGCTGTGACCTTGTCTAGACACACAGCAGAATGAGATGGTGGCACAGATGGTCCTATTTTCAAACACCCCACCCTTTTGTAAAAGGTACCCTGCACAAAGCGCCTTAAGTACCCCAGAGAGAACATCCTGGCATCCATTTTCGCCTTTGGGTCCTGTTTATTTCTATACTTATTTATGCAGAAATGGATCCTTGGGATCAGAAAAAGGGTTATTTGTCTTTTTATACACTGGG